CTCTGGTGAGCGTATGCTCTTGGAACACGGACGTTATTATGGTTTCGGCATGGATGCTCTGGTGAGCGTATGCTCTTGGAACACGAACGTTATTATGGTTTGGGCATAGATGCTCTGGTGAGCGTATGCTCTTGGAACATGAACGGAATTATGGTTTGGGCATGGATGCTCTGGTAATCGCACTCACTAAGACACGAACAGAATTATGGCTTGGGCATGGATGCTCTGGTGAGACTATGCTGGTCACCAGGGGTCTTATTCGAGTATTGGAGGCTTTTGTCTCTATACTCGGCGAGACGTGGGGTCGGAGGGAAGGTACGGCGCGGCCATTACCTCTGCCGGGACCTCTACGGCGGGAAAGGAAGTACGAGTTAAACAGCTGCAACAACACGTGACAAGAGATTTCTCTGCTGCGTTAATGCTTTTTTTATGCAAGCCAGGCGACATCCAGCCAGTTCCTCTGTGGCTCCCCGAGGCTTCCAATGAGGTAAAACGTCGCGGCGATGAAGTGGTTGACCAGTAGCAGCATAACCTCTTCTCATTCTCTTTCCCACAAACCTATACAGCAACAAGTGCTCACTGCGCAATGCGTATTGTTGGCCCACTGGGCACACGACTATCATTCTGCAGATGTTCACCAAAATGAACACAGCCTGTCGGACTGGCAAACTTGATTTCAAAATGCGGATTTGGGCGCAGATGGGGGTCCCGTCCGCGATCATCTCTACAAGAGCAGGACTTGAAGTGTCTTGTGCCTCAGATGTGATGCGATCCTTGATCATCGCAAGGATCCTCTTCAGTTTCACCTGTCACTTGCAGGAAATGCAGATTAAAAGCATTTGAGGCAGCGAATCTCTTGCTGAAAGATGACTCAAGGAGACAAGTCGCAAGTCGAAGCAGCCGCACTGTCCGCACCTCTGGCACCAATTATTACATGCTTGCTTGATACAAGATGGCCCATCCTTGTAAATTCCAGGACTATGCGCTAGCATTATCCTGCCGGCTGACCAGAATCCAGAAACCTCAACTAAAATTGTTGCTGCCAGAGCACCACTCGGAGCGATCGCAAGAGTCTGTTGACTGACCCCGGGTCTGTTGAGCCTTGCGATCCGGAGATGTTCCTTGGCCGGACTGCTCACGGTACAGCTGCCCGCCCATCTCACCTATAATGGTGTTGTAGGATGTTGTAGGTGCGTACTTGCCCAAACAAATGGAACCCTTGCATGACGATGGAGTACGGTGTCTAAAGCAAATGACTGTGCGTGGCTCCATGCCATTTCTGCCTGCGGAACAGCGGCACGATGGTGAAGATCCAGTCCGGGCCACAGACCAGCCTAGCACTATTTGGGAGGGCAACTGAAGCGCAAGGTTCTTTTCCCTGCCAAGGTGCAGATCGAGGATAAACCACGTTTTCCTGAGTGGCAAGCCATTCGAAGCCAAGATGTCTTCTGATCGTGCGGAAGCGCAGCTTAGCATCAGATAATTGATAAAGATTGGCCACGGATAGAGATTGACGTTGCCTTTCCGCGAGTGCTGGCAGAAGTAGGTTCCAGGTGCAGCAATTGTCGCGACATGTCGCCACGTCACAATGGTTCAGCCGGCCTGCAAATTTACAATCGAACCCGCTGGCCTTCTTGGACAAAGCCCGTGATCAAGGACATTCCAATGTCACATGTCCAGAAGATCTGCGTGATCCAATCCATCCTTCGGAGCTCAGCCACCACCGGTAGTCGAAATGATATGAAGTGAAAGTGAAACAGCTCGTTCGGTACTCTGGCCAACAGGCGCTGCAGGCCCAACTTGACAAACATCTGGGCCGGCTGCGTATCCGTAAACGTCGTGGGTTCCTCAGCTGCTGTCGCGGCAGATACTGGAGAGGGCTAGATGTCGGGAAAAAGGTATGTAAGAGAGCAGCAGGATCGTAGGCTGTCAGCGGAATGGTAACAACGTCCTCAGATCACAGTCTTCGCTCTTTTCTCCAATGCATGCCAACACTTCCAAGAACGTATCCCAGCGACCTGACACACTGAATGACACATCATGGCACAAGGATGCATAGACCTATCAATGGTAGCTGCGCTATGCTAGCATGAGCCAAGCCACGTAGAAAAGGAGCAACATAGAGAGGAAATCCCAGGCCACTCCTTGGCAATCTGTCTGATCTAGATTAGTGGCACACCCCCCGGGCCGACAGCTCTGGCATCAGCTCTAACATCAGCTCTGGCATGTCGGACTGTTCAAAAAATTCAGCTAAGAGTCGCTTGGGGCCGTGTGGCGACAAGATGAAGCCATAGGGAGATTTCTGCACCATCTGATCCTGCGCAGACACCACTAGCCGCGTCGAGAATGAAGCACGGCCATGACTGCCTCCAAGGTAAGCTGATTGTCGGCGCTGGAGGCCACGGCCCTGTCAACCACCGTGGTGTGGAACACTGCATGGCAATTTCTGCGGTGGGTTTAAATACCTGCACGCACCGTGCATGTGGCCCCCTTTGGCCTGATCTGCTCGTCCTTGATCTCTTCCAAATAGGCCGTGCTCCTCCTGAAGCAATCAAGCTCTGCGTGATTTCAGCTGGCTAAGCTTCGATTCAGTCATTTCTGTCCCGATGTTATTGGCTTTCCACAGCTCGCGGAGCAGAAGGCCCTCTGCAATTGCCTGCAGCTACTGCCATGTGGGTGGCTACAGATCCTGTCTAGCTGCGACGCTTCTGCGGCTGGCTTAAACATCACTGCACGGCTAGAGCCTTTTGAACGCTGGAGGTCCGCGTGCAGGAATCCACCTGGAGGCATGAGCAATTGGGCTTATCAACAGGAAGGTCACACAACAGGGCAAGCCGGCAAGTCTGCAAACACTGCGCTTGCAAGCAACATGCCCGAGCGGCAGTCAGGTCGTGGTTCGAGTTGCTCTCGATGGGCCTTGCGCCGTGCAGAAACCAGATCGCAAGCTTTTCCTGGCGCGTGTGAAGAGTTAAGCACCGTACTCCTCGTCTACGATGTCTTGAAAGGTTACCTGCCGTCGTGATCGCGTGCAACTCATCCGGATGAGTTTTATCCTGTGCCTCCACGCTTCTCCTCTCGCGCGGCACTACTGGGCTAAAGTCGACCTGGGCAGCATTGGCCTGACCAAAAACATCCTTTTCTACGACTGTACGAAGGCACGGCCTCGGCAGGTAAAGGCTTCTTCTCCTGCCGCATCTGCCGTAAGCAGTGGGTCAGCGCTTGAGTCTCTAGAAGGCTTGTATTCCAAGATCGCACCGCCTTGTAGCTCTCCAGTTCCAGCCTCATCACAAGCATGGCAGCTCACCAGATGACCCCAGGATCAGTCTCTCTCGTTTGAACGCATCTGTTTGCAGCAGCGTCGCCGCAAGTGAGCCAGTTCCTTGAAGGGATGAAAGTCACGACTTGCAGCTCAGGTTTTGTCAGGCCAGTGGTGTTCAGCGCACTTGGCAGATTTTGTGCTTCTGTTGCATGACTGCACAAATGATGAAGTGACAGTGTCCAATGATTGGCTGCAATTCAACCCTGTTGCAACAAGCTCTTCACAAACCACTGCTGTGTAACTGCCGCGGAGCCACCTGTTCCCTTTCATCATTATACAACTCCAGTTGCGCCAGAAGCTCATGGAAAGCAAGTCTCCTGAGCAAGGGAGGCTTGGCGTGATATTGGGAGTCGCAGTTTTTCTGAGACTGCGAGGCCAATGCTCTGTCTGCTGAATTCCCATCGCGCAGTCAAGCATCGAAGCTTCTGCCTCCGGGCCTGCCATTTCGCCGCTTCACCGCACCCTTTAGGTGGTCATGCAGCTTCGAACCAGAGCTATAGCGAGCTGTGAATTTTCTCTTCTTTTCATTTGTTCGCATGTCATTGAGCTCATTGGGCCAAAGGTCTTACCTGTTCGGCTTCTTGGGCCAGCTTGAGCAGCGGCAGAGGATTACCCAGATGCCTTGGACTTTGGCGCAAGGGCGCGGGTGGGCGCGGATGCCAGACTGAAATCTCACAAAATGCCACTACCTACAGATCGGAAATAGTGACCTGCAATCATCTTTCCAGCAATGCAGCTGCAGGATGTCAGCAGTATGACTGGTTGGAAAGCATCCTGCCTCCGGCTTGCTCTTGGAGGCCCCGCCACGCGGCTCAAATGCAAAGCTATGCCCCGAGCCAAGGACGGGCGTCTGCAGCAAGCGCTAACTGTCTGCAGGCACAGGAAAGGGTGTGTGCTCTGTCAAGCTTATTGCATGTGGGAAGGTGGGACACGCTAACTGCAAAGTTGGTCACTATGCAACAACTGATCGGTTTCAGAAAGCGGTGACATGCTGCGGGTTGGCACCAATGATGAGCAGCATCGTGCATGTGCACGCCAAGATAGACCTCGCCTGTCAAGAGGGTTGTAATGATGCTATCTTCTATCATCACATTTGCGCCACTCTCCTTCCAATCCAACTGAACTTACACATAAGTTTCAGTCCCATGCACCCCGGGTCGCTGTCTCCTGTCCCACCTACCTACTCTGCACCGATCCAGCCTGTAACGAAGTGCAAGTACACATCTCGAGACACGTGGACTCAATCCTTGGCGAGCATGGCACGACAGCGTGATTGCAGCATGGCCAGTTCAACTTCAGATTGCTTAGCAGGGCCAAAAGCCGAAGTCTATGCAAAGACGGTGGACATCCACACCAGGCAACCCTTCTTTCCAGTGTCGTTTGATACCCCTATGGCCCTATGGCCCAACAAGGTCCAAGACCTGCTCACGATTTGTTCCTGGCTTCTGGGTTCACAAGAACGCTGCCGCCCCAGGGTCCGCTGGAAGCGTCAAACTACGTATTTCTGCATCCTACCTTGGCCCATCCTGTGAAACGTTCCAGCACTTTGGAGGACAGAAAGCGTCTGCTTCTGCGAGAAATGATCGTGTCAGCGAAAGCTAAATGCGTTCTGTGCTTACGAAGAGAAGTCGTCCCACATTGGGTCACACGAATGACTTCCATCCTCCAAAGCCACGAGTACCGCTCAGCCGTCCCGGGCATCCAGATGCACTCTGCCTCACTCAATCTAGCACCAGCGTTCCACAAGTGGATTCCGGTCAAGCTTCTGTCATGCGATGCAAGAAAAGCAAACCAAGACTGCTAGGCGCGCCAGGCATATGACGTTCCGGGAGGACTGGATCCTGCCGCTAGCCGACCTCAGCCCAGTAGTGACGAACATCGCTGAGCTCAAAACATGACCTCCACAGATCCGCGAAGAGGAACTGGAACTGGTTCGGAGCGCTGTCATTGATATCCCATATCCCCATCGCACATCTACAGCTGTCTGCCTTCGAAAGCAGCTGCACTCTATAACTATCCCTGTGATGCTCGGGCGTGAGATTGTTTAGTAATACGAGTGCGGGCGTGTGGCAAAAAAGGTGCCACAGCCACCTTGCTGTCGTCAATTACTACACAGCCTGAAAGCCTGCGGAGAAGGCAGGCTGGGGATCCGGGCGTGAATTCCAGAGCACTCCTTGATGAATCGATCGTGAAGCTGCTTCGCCTTTTTTTGCAGAACTTTCTACGTGCTAGTTTCACAGAGGAGCTACGGCGAAAAGACATCGGCCATGAGCTGCAGCAGAACGGTTCAGGATGAAATGCTCACCCCTCACTTACCTGTAGGCGGGTTCTATAGGAATCCGAACAACTGAGAGTGCTCACACAACGACAGAGCAGGAGGCGTCACTTTGATGGTGACACCAGCCAAGGTCAAACGATTCAAGGCCTGCTCCGTGACACATTTTTTTCCATGACCTCACTGCCAGCATGCCTTCAACGACCTCTGGCTGTGAACTGGACGTGGCAGAGCAATCTGAAAGTGCGGTATTACTAGGTCCTGACATAAAACATACCACGTCGAGATCCAGCAAGGTAAACTCTGATCCACGGGTCGGGGGATGCACTCCAAAGCCGCGGCCCCCGGGCACTTGCCCTTCGACGCATAAAGACCAAGCAAAAGAATTTGCTCGGCGACGTCAGCTAAAAGAGCCGAGGAGGTGCCCGTTTGGAAGCAAGGCAAAAAAAGACAAACTTCACGGCCTTGGCCCAGCACACATGCTTCCACCCTGGCTGCCCTCTTCAAACAAGCCGATACAAGTCGATGACACACCTTAGTGGTCATGACCTCAGGTGCTCCTGCACATTACTGCGCAGTTTGCGACCGAATGCCCGATCATCTACAACAGTTTAGGACAATCACCGTCTTTAAGATGAGCTCAGGTCCAGAGCGAATGCCAACTGTGCCTAGAACAGGACGACGGGCAGTCGTAGGCATGCTATGCCCGCTATGCATCCTCTCTGTGTCTCTATCTCTCCACATGAACACCGTCAACGTCATGGAATTCTGCCGTTTGGCATACGGTGAGACAGGAGGCCAACTTAGGGTGGGAGCAGGCAGGTAGGGCCCTGCCAAGGACCCGCGTTCTCTGCCTGGCCAGAGCCCAGTCCTTGCCCTCATCCATAAGTTCTACGAGTCATGAGAAGAATGTATGCCTAGATGTTTTTTGAAGCCCTCGTGTCAACTCTCAGCGAAGACTAGGACAGAAGCGTAGACTCAGAAGCGCTGGTGCTCATCGTCCCCTGTCACGGCGAACTCCAAAGTTAGAGCAAATCTACGTCCCCAAGCAACTCCGCAGGCCTTCTTGTCCTTAGCCTTAAACTTGGGCAGCTCTCCGACAGACTGCTCAGCGATGCTTTTGGATGGGGTCCTTCTTGCAGAGAAAATCAATTTCTCCTCGAGGCTCGAGGATTGCTTGGACCCCGCCCGCGACTGTGGACGAGATCCTAATGATCCCACAGTGAGCTCATTCGATGATTCGCGGGATGGCTTCCTATCGATGCCAGGCAGAAGCTTGTTCTGCGATCTGGGGTCACCCTTGCTAAGACGCAGTTCCACCTCAAGCAAGGTCTTCTCAGCTCGAGGAGATTTGCCTCTAAGCTCTTGAGCGTTCACCCGGCTGTCTAGCTTTGAGTCGCTTCTGGGCAACGTCAATCTTTTGGATTCAGACTGAGGTGCCCGAGACTGCGATCGGGGAGACTTGTCCCGCAGGTTCGCAACGCTGGGGATCCTGGATGCCTTTGGTGTGCCCTTCGGGGATCCTTTCGGTGTTCCCTTCGGCGAACGGCTATCGTTGGGAGGCGTCGCAGGTGTCCCGTTATCTTCAGATGGCCATGGACTCGGCCCTGGCGATGCCTGCACAAGACATGACTACGCTGCGAAACGAATCACAAGAAGGAATCAGCCTGCCTGGCTGTCACTCTCCGACATCTCACCCTTTCGCATCAAGGGCATGATTCAATACATCATGTAATTCTGCTGGGCTGCTCTAACATCTTGTGCCCGCCTCATTCCCGAGCGCTATCAAATCCGACTCCAAGGGCGTCATGGGATGCAAGGCTCTCACAAGTCCAGGTGCATGGACAGGGCCCCTGGAATCCACTGACAGCTTGGAGGTACCACGCAATGTGCGAGCAGAGCTTTTGGAATCGACTGCCGAGGATGTGCGGGAATCTTGCGACAGGCGGTGAATCTGCGACGTCGGCGCATCCGCTGCCGAGGCAGTCCTGCCAGTTCCAAACTGCCACTGAACTTCTGGCTAAGACAGAACCCTGCATTGTGTAGTGGTATGTAGCGGTAGCACAGCAGAGGAGAGGAGAAATAGTGCCTGCATTGTTGCCTTCATCGTTTGTAGCAGCACTCCGAAGTCATTACTACTTCCACGAGCTGCGGTGCCTTTGTTGAAAGGCAACCTTGCAACACCCAGGCCTGCAGTGCAATTTAGTTTAGATCCAGGAGTGCTAGGGCAAGGCCTCGAAAGAAGGCCCGCTTGTGAGAAGCTTTGTCGCGACCTCCGCATCGGGACCAGAAAGATTCTCCAAATTCTGAGCCTTTGGGATCCTGAAGCTCATCGGCCGGATCAGGCGTTGGGGATAATGAAGGCAGGATCCGTCTCTCTAGGATGCTTTGCAACTACGCAGTAGATTGTAGACAAGTGCTCACTCCATGAAGCATGTACATCACTGCACGGACAGGTCCCGATCGCTGAGGCTGCGACACCGAGGAGACGTTGCTGAAGGCACTGCCAGTGCTAAGGCGGCTGGTCTTCCTCCGGTCACCTTACAGCGTTTTAGCCCTTCCCTTACTCCCCGTCTTTTCTTTTTCTCCTGCGGTCAGAAAAAGTCTTTCACAGTAACACGTGCTTGAGGGATTTTACCCGTGACATCTTCATTCTGGTGGGGCCAGCTCCACCTTTCTTCCCACTCTTGGGCGCTCCCACCTTTCTGCCAATGGACTTCCAAGTCGTGTAACGGGATCAGCTCCCTGCGAGAAGGCGCCCAGTAGTCCACCTCCCAAGTGGGCAACACTCGAAAGCAGAGTTCTCGAGCCGTTAACTCCTGCCCCTCGCCCAGCAATCTTTGCAGGTGTCTCAGCCGGTCAGAAGCTGCCACGGCCTCAGACCTGCTACGAAAGACCGAAGCACCGGGCACGCTCAAGAGTTCCGTGAGAAAACGCTCCACATCGTCAGCATCCAGCGACAAAACGGCCGAAGCGACGGACGCGTGAATGACCTCGGAAGCCTGAGGCAACTCGAGGCAGACCGGAAACCAATACGTAAATTGGTCGATCGTTCCGTCAAAGAGCTGCAGCATACCACTGGGAAACGCATTGAGAACGCGTGTTGAGTCAATGCAAACAAGTTGGAAAATACCGTTAGAATTGCTGCCTGCCTTCTGCCGCAACATCAGATTGGAAGGGCCTCCGTCTCGCTGCATGGTGATGCAGGCCAGCATGCAGAGCCGATGCACGTTTTCTAGATCTAAGCCAGAAATGAGACCGAGGAAGTCAGCATCCGTAGGCTCCTTGCGGGTGTAGGTGTCTCTCAGGAGAGCCTCCACCCCACAGTCAGGTCCACTGGGTGTGGCTGCATAAGCCTGCAGCAAATCCACGGAGCCGAAGAAGTTTGCAAAGCGTTTACCGAGTGCACTTGGCGACTCCCCCTCAGGAACGACTCGAATACATCTTTCCACTGTCACCCACATATTTGTCGGCCAAGTCTTGGAGCAGTGCTCCTGGGTTGCCCAAATGGATGTGTGCTTTCGAAGCACATCCAGGACGGTCAAGTCTGTAAAGTCCGTGGACTCGCACAAGGAAAGATCGAAGGCGATGCACGGAGAAACCACATCACCAAACCCTAGCCGGTCAGCAAAAACATAATTACACTCTTCCCGCAGTGCTATTGAAGGAAACTCGCCACGATACTTCACCACTGCCTCTGCCACACCTTTACACAGGATCATTCCGACGAAGGAGCTCTCGCCGTTAGGCTTTACAATCTTGATTTCGACATCCAACTTCAACGCTGATTCCTTGAGAAAGTCTCTCAGAGCCATGCAGGCACTGGGCAAGGGACGGACTTCCCAGCATGTTGCTATCGCGCGTTGTAGTTTCTGGCGGGCACCCTCGCAGGTCCCTCCAGCCACTTGTTCGGAACACTCTAACTCATCCGCCAGCTCCCGCAAGCATGCAGCAAGCCGATGCGCCGTTGGACATGTTGGCAAGGTCATGCCGAGGCTCGCAGATAGATGCCAGAACCAACTCGTGCACTTGTCTAGCATGCTGGCATTCGTTGATGCGCCGCGTATAATCCAGTACCACAGAATAATTTGGCGGGTCTCATTTATCTTGCCTTGATGAGAGCAAGGTATCACTTAATTCGTGTTTGCTCCCCCTGAATCATGTACACCCAATGCTACTTATCAAGCTTGGGGGGGTCCTCTAGCTTTTGATATCCTTCGGGTGTGCTCGGCGAATTCCAGCTATTCGCGGCAATCGCTTAAAAAATCCTAGATTGACGCCAGTCTGAAAGCTCAATGACATCACAACTTGACTGCGCGTGGCCTAGTTTGGCTCAGATCCTGGAGCCAAGACCAGGCGGCAAGACTGCAACAGCCACAGGCAAGACCCTGACCCACGCAATCAGCTGCTCAAACATCTAGCTCATAATGGATGATGCAGCAACGTGGGTGCCTGCACAAAGCAAAGTCGTGCTATGGCCTGACGTGTCTATTCGCTGAAGACCGGATTCTGGAGGAGCCAGGATGTCCAACAAGGAAGGCGTAGGTGGCGAATCTGGCTTCTCCTTGGATGCTGCGGCTGCCCAGCAACATCAAAAGCATGAAGGCACCAAAAGTGGCTCTCACATGCAGGCTGTGGGGCTGCTTCGTTTTGCACCACAATTTTCCAGACTGCTTGTAGCCGGTCTGATATTCCCTCTCCACTCCTCCACAGCATGAGGTCAGCCCCAACTAGAGCATAGCAAAGCTTTCTCTGCTTCAACTGCCTAGCTGCTGCCACCTGCTACATCGATCCGAAACCCTGGAATTTACACGTTGTTGGCAAAACTTGAGCATCGCCTTTGCCGGTCATGGGAAGATAACAGCAACTCGGCCTGACAGCTCTTACAAATTCTACAGCCTCTTCACAAGCCAGCCGTTCTGCACAGCTCTCGACACAAATTCTGCAGCCTCATCCTCGAAGACGAAGCTGCGCGCGTTCAACGTCGGTTTCTCCTGTCCATCCATGGCTGCTTTGACCAATGGAATCTGGAAAGCAGAGCCGGCCTTTCTACGTTCTCCGCCAAAAATTGTCCCACCAAAAGTTGGATCTCGAAACAGAGGCTTCCAGCGATTGCGGCTACTTCTCTGCAGAGGCACAGGTGTAGAAGGCGCAGGTGCGGAAGCACTCTTCTTCAAGCTGCCAGCTGTGGGGCGTTCCTTTCCATGGAAAGACTGTGCAAGTCTTTACGGGCTAGGTTTGGCTAGATGCCCACGGCTTCCTTTTATGGCAGCTGTTGACCTACAGCAAGGGCAGCAAAACAATTGCAAGCAAGACACAACAGTTAGGCCATCCTCTTCCTTGGTTGCACCAGTCAGCTCAAACCCTCAAGTGATCTCCATCAAACTCCAGGACTGAGTTCTGTGTGGAAGGCATGGGTACCAAGCAAACTTTGAATCGGCCTCTCTTGATATCCAAGTTTCTCCTGAAGCCGCCAGCGCCGTCTGGCTAGGCGGGCTCGACATGCTGCATCATTCCCAGAACATTAGTTTTCGGGGAATGTGGAAGGGTTTCTGCAATTGCACTGAGAAACTGATGAAGCCTCTGAATCTAGCTGATGTGGCCGGTGCACTCGCTGGCTTTCCGCTGGAATTAAAAGAGCCTACTTGACAGCCACTTGGCACCCAACTCAGCTTTGCTGAGAGGGGCCCTGAGCCTTCTAAGATGAAAGTGCATCTGAATCTGCCATTCGGGCACCGCAGGGTGTAGACTCGTGCTGTGCGCCTTTATCCACTATCGTGGCAGAGCTGCGGAAAGCGCCGAGCCCGAGACCAGCACTTTCTTTTCTTCAACTGGTTTCCAGGAAAACGGACCTCCCAAATCAGATTCTGATCAAACGACGCACCAGCAACACCTAGCAGCCCTGTCCCTGATGTAAGTACATCACCATCCGGGCACTCTTCCAGCGTGCTGATGCTGGGCGGCAGTCGGATTCCTTGCCTTGGTTGACACTCAGGTCCATCTGTGCCTGCTACTCCACTGTCAGTCTCACGGCCATGGGGGCCCGCCCGTTGCGTCAACTGCTGCCAGGAGGCGGGCCAAGCTGCTTTCCGCTAGGATTGTATCTGAAGGTATAGACCATGTCCCTGTCCGCCTCAGTAGGACAAAGCATCAACCATGGAGCCAGTCACAGCCTTGCGATTTCGCCGCTAGTTTTTGCACCCTTGTCTAACCAGGCAAAATCCAACATTGCAAAAGCAGGTGGTGCAAAGTCATTGCAAGAGCAGAAGTGAAGAAGGGTCCTGGCCCTTTGCGCGTTGTAGTTCTCTGACTTGCCGGGCCTGCGCCCAGCATCACGCCTGCAGGCACATCCTCATTAAAGTGCAGTTGCCATCGGACCCTTCTGCAACTTTGTTTTGGATGCAATTTGTCCCACTTCTCTTGCGCCAATCAGGGCCAATGCTACGGACCTTCCACAGCTTTGAAAATTTTGTCTGTCTTTATCTGCCGCTCCGCCAGATTCTAGCTCTTTTTCAAGGCGACCAAGTGCATCCAATTGCACATAATCTCCATGACAAAGCCCTACTTATGCACCTTTGATGAACACAGGCAGCAAATCCACGGCCTGTCCCCGTATGCTCGGCCATACCGATGAAGGTTCCACTGAAGGAAAGGCACGGTTTCCACCTTGAGCTGGCACTGGCAAGGTCAATAGTCAATAACGGTCTGAGGTGCACTTCCCCCATGACAAACTGCACTACGAGAAGTCAGTGATTCCCGATGCAATCTCACGCTTTGCTTCGCAGATTGGTTGGAGGTGGTCATCTCCCTCTTCGCAGTTGCCAGCAGATTCAGCGGTGCTGATGACGGCCGCAGGCAGAAATATAGCAGAAAGCAGCCCCTCCTGCCACATGCTCAGCTAGCTTTTTGACTGACAATCCAATGTATTTCGAGTGCAGCACAAACAGGCAGGAGAAACTGCCATCCTCATGACCGGTGAAGGTGCAAAGGCATTGCTCAGTTTCAGCATCGAAGAGGCAGGCTGTGCAATCACCCGAAGAAGTTAGGACAGTTCCGCCGGAGGGTGAGAACACTGCAGACGAAAGTAAGCCTTTCAGCATCAGAGTTTGGGATCGCATGTTCTTCTGGCACATCACTCTCAGCAACTGGCCTCTGTGCCCTGTGAACGTCCTGCCATAGCAAATCACACGCCCTTAGCAAGCATTAATGGCTCCTTACTCCCCCTTCTGTTCTGCATTGCCAAAGAACCAAGAACATGCCAGAATCATGCAGGAACACGACGCTAACTTACAGAGGGCTAGCAAACAGCCGGGGCTAAGGGCAGACTTGCACGAGGTGGTCCTGGTACATCTGCCATCGGTAAGCGTGAAGACTTTGGCCACGTTGCCGCTGACTGCTGCCACCAGGATTGAGTCCCCACATGGTGAGAAGCAACAGCTTCGCACTGATCCAGCATGCCTGCTTGGGCACTTCAACAGTTCTGGCCGTGATATTTTGCTAGTGACAACAGTGATGCGCAAAGCACAAGCCTGCGAAAATCCCGAATGAGAGAGGCATCGCTTGCATCGAAAAGCCGGAGTACTCCATCTGCTGAAGTGGTCAAAACGGTCCTTGGCATGGGCATTGCACTCTCCGGTAAGGCGCGTGACGAGCCAGTGTGGTCAACAGCACGCTGGTCATCAAACTGACCGCAACCAACAGCTGCTACTTCCGAGGCACGTCATGTCAGGAGAAAAGCTTGCCTCAGCTGTTCAGGCCCAGCATCGCATAGCAGAAAGACTGCTTCACGCAGGAACGCAAAGCAAAAGGAAGGGCAGCAAATGATGAACGCGCCAGAAAATGAGTAAAAAAGCGCTCTATTAGTACAAGAGTGACTGTAGCTGACCTCAAGACACCACCCAGACGATATGTCAACGCCACTTTGGGGACTGTTGGGCTTCAGGCGATGCAGAAGCTTTGCTGCGGCATGAGCCATTCGTCAATGCGTTACTCGGGGCTGGGGAAATTTGGGGGAAACCCCTGCCCGGTAGCTAACCTACAGCGAACGACGGATGCTGCTGCACGCGAAAAAGTTAACCTCTTGCATGTACCGCTTGAAAGCAAGTCGTTTACGTGGGAGCGCTTGCCCTGTGCGATTCTGGACACAGCTGCATGCTTCGTGCTTCTGAACAGCCCACAACTGCCAATGAATGGACAAACACTGCTGCCTCTGGCACCGCACCCAGCCTGGTTAAGCGCGCATAGTCTCTTCCAGTAGCGTGAGGCAAAATGGCCACTGGAGTTTCGTCAACCAGTCTTTGGGTTCCGTGAGCTCCCGAGCGCGTGCAACACTCCAGGACATGCAGACATGAATTCTGGGCCAGATGCCGCAAAAAAAGCTTCGGCACCCTCCGCCGGCACTTTCGGTGCCACCCTAGGGCTTCCTGAGCTCCTAAGCCCCTCAAGCGATCACAAATGAGCTCCCCTTCCTGGAGCCGTACTTGGTCGGGCCAAGTTCGGGCACCATGCATATTCTCAATTTTTGGCTGCATTGAACAGAACATTGTTGGGATCTATCAAAAGCCAAACTGAACTATGTAAGCTTCTGCTGCAGACCAGTCTCCGTCAGAACATGGCCCATGTGGCCTTTGAAGAGCTGCTCGCTTCGACCAGACTTTGTGTCGAATATCTGCGCTACGTGCTCCTTCAAAGCGACAACCACCTGCGGAATGGTGTTCACAGAGTGCACTTTGAAACAGTGCCGTTGAGCCTTTGCCGTGTTTGCCGAGAATTTTGCCTGCAATGCCCGGCCAAGCCTCACAGAAGTCAAAAGGGACCAAGGCTGTTATCTTTTCCAGTGGCAACTCTCGCGGCCAGGGCTCGCTGCCAGGCGTCTTGGCTCTTTGCTCTGAGCCCAGTCCACCAACAGCACATCCCCACTGCCATCGACCAACACCAGCATCGTAGCATCTGGAGACAGTGCTGCACTCATCAGCCCCTGAAACATTTGGCAGGTGCAGAGAAAAGGCAACAGCTTGCATGCACAGCTGCGCAGATTGAGTGCAGCACTCAGGCCTTCTCCGGATTTTCGAGCTCAAAGCAATAGATGCACTGTCCCGTCGTTGTCTTGTACAAAGAAACCACACCAGTCTCGCAAGCTACGAGGAAGAGCTTGCCACTGTCCTCGGCTGCAGCGGGATTTCACCAGCCCAGATTACATACTAAAGTCCTGGGACATTCACAACATCTGGGAAACCAGCTTTTTTTCCACGCCGAGCATCACATACGTCCGCCGCAATGATACTGTTGTATCCCATCTCCTCGAAGCTCTCATTGAAGGTCCGCTCGCACATGCCTGCAACAGACCACCTTGCTATGCGTACATCCCTGCTGAAAGAGCCGTGAGAAGAGCCTGTTTGTATGTCGAAAATCTTGGCTGTCGCATCTTTGGATGTGGTCAGCACTCTCGCTGCCTGCATGCTGGCGGCCATGCACAAAATTTGGCAGGCACTCTGAAAACCAAGACTTCAAGACTGATGTGCAAGATCACATTATCACCTACCATCAAAGCAATGCAGTCTGCAAAGACGGCCTCAAAGCAACCGGAACGTCTCGGCTGCACGACTGCTGTCAGTTGGGCATCAGGCGCAAGAAGCCCAACCGCACCCACCTGCACGAGCACAATGACATTACAAAGATCATCCAAAACGATAGCTGCGTGTTCTGTGATCTTCTGCTCATCCACTTCAGGATCGCAAAAACTCGGTCACCACATTGCTGTGGCAACTTGTGACGCCGCTCTGAGAGACACTGACAGGCGTATGATATTATATTGTAGGTAAAAGCTGCGCGGCACCTCATCCTCAACGGAGAGCTCTTGCCCTTGTAGCCTGTTCTTTCGGCATGCTGTTCGTAAGGTTACGTCATTCTGCACGGGTTCCCCTGAACGGAAATATGAAATATGAACCTTGGCGCATGGTGAACATCCAAGTAGCAGGAGCCGAACTGACGGGAGAGACAGTTGGCGGTAGATGGATGCGACTTTGTCACCCTCCTGTTGGCAAGGTCACAAAAATGCTGTCCACTGCGGCTTTGGCGCATGCATACATTGCCTACGTAGGTGCCATGTGCTGCTAAGGGTCAAAAACGGAAACGCTGGCCGCGAGTTCACCAGATAGAGTATACACCGCGACATTCACCATAGAAGAAGTTGGCTGTGGTTATGACTCTTGTGACACTGGGAGGCCCTACCGTTGCGATAAGGGCTGTCAACATCTTTGAGGACAAGGGTACACCTTGTTCGGGCCTCACTTTTCTAGATGCTGCGTGGTTTGTGTACGCTGTCAAGGTGTTGCGGTTATGCCGACAGTGGATGGCTGCACGTACCGCATTTGGAGCTCATTGCATGTGAACAGCCGAATGGCTGCAGCATTATTTGGGAGCACGAAAACTGCTGTGGAGCAAGTCATCAATCTCACCAAAGGAAAATGCAGAAGAGCCAGGACGCAGACATGGTCAAATTCATTCTCTTTGGCTGCGAAAGTGATGAACCTTTCACGATCACTCAGACTGTCAAAGACATGTACAAGAAGCATCTCAAGGAATTCTATGGATGCTGACGAGCTTCGAATATCGGACACCCACTGCTCCCATGTTTGAGGCAACCTTTTCAGGGGATTTCTATCTGTGAAAGTGCCTGTATGGTGCAGCTTGGACAGTCGACAGTCAAAAATTGACCGTACAGCTACAATTGTCTCGCAATGGATAGGGCATTGCAAATGGCAGCTATACCCGCAGCCTTCACCAGGCCACCAACTTTCATGAAGGATCGCAGCGCCCGAAAGAATAATCGCATCAAGTTTTCCTTGCTGAGCGAAAAGGTTCCATTTTGCACTGGAATTTGTTGAGACTTCCCCCATCATCACTACGCAATACTACGCATTGTCTGCAGTCGCGAGTCATGACGCCAGTTGACGACTGGGTGGCCGTCGAAGAAGCCGCCCACGGCTCCTTCACAAAATGGGAAAAGTGGCGTTGAGGGCCCAAGACCCTTGCTGCATGGTACAACTGACCGACCGCCTGCATGAGGGAAGTTGTAGTAGACCGCCCCGATCGTCCCCTGAGAAGCACACCATGGTACAATGTCACTGACCTACCTGCCAGGTCCACGCCTCCAAGCCCTTGAATTTGGGGTTCATGGCAATGCGAGTGCAATCGATCTCATGATGAACCTCTGCGTAGTGCTCCTCGCCGATCAGAAGTCGTGGGTTGCCAACTTGCGCAAACTCACCGCATGAGCCATTTGCAAGCGAGGATAGGTAGTGGCTACAGCCATGCAGCAACTGCAAAACAACCTGACAGATGGCGGCTCGTCCTCCAAAGTCTTGATAGTTTGATCTATTTCCTGCACAGCAGGCTGACAGGTCCAACCAAGCATCGAATCAAACCGGACACTTCTAAGAGCATAATTATCCAGCAGATTGAAACCATCTTATATACACCGAGTGCACACGGCCTTTTGTTGGTATGTGGACTTGAGATGTCAAAAGTGCGTCCTCATAGCGCTCCCTCAAGACTTCCAAAGACTCAAAGGTGGTGGCAATGACACGACCCACGTGGCCTGCAGGCAGTAGGCACTCTGAAGACATACTGCTTCAGAGATACGATGGGTTGCACAGAAAAAACACACAGTAGAAATTGGTTGCTACTGACAGGGCTGACGGCCTAGAACTTTGCGATGTCTCGCCAAGTTCAGCCTGAAAGGACAAGATTTCAAGATATTTCAAGATTTTCAAGAAATTTCCGAGATCCAGAGCGGCTGGCAGCATCCTGAATTAATAGCCGAGCGGCGCAAAACTCAAATTGGCATCTCCAAAGACCTTGATGAATCAAGAACACCCTTTCACATCCTGAATGCGCGTCTAGCGCCTACAAGGTGGATGCTGTAAAGTTCTGCCATGTCTCTGCAGCATCAGCCGTGGGGTCAATGAGCTCAAGCCGGTGAAAGCGGCTAATTGCAGCCATGCCCGGTGCATCTGGCGTTGGAGCACTCTCCCACTGTGTGGCACACTGCATGGCTGCGTGTGCACGTCATCCTTTTGGCTGGCCTGGCATGCAGCCTTCTGTGCGGCCCTCGAGAGCAGGCGCCTCCTTCGCCTTCAGCTGGGGCGCTTGCGCCGCATTTCTTGCCAACAATGCTACACGGCACAATGGGCACCACGCCTCTGCGATCAGCTCGGCCAAGTTCTGTGTACCATCATACTTGGCTAGGACATAGCGCAAGTCCTTGTGACCAAAGGAGGGAATTTCCTGCTTGCAGGCAACCCTCCCAGTCATTCGGCCTTATGGCTAAGGCCACGCAGCATGCCTCGGGCAAAGAATGCTCACCACGCACGAGAGCCCCTGAAGACAAGTGAGGCTTCGGCCATCAGCCTCTACATTAAGCTTCCACTTCTCCCGAAAAGTGAGCAACCTTGGGCTTCATGACATAGACGCGTTTGTGAAGCAAGGCTTGAGATTCGTGCGTGTCCAGCGGGCCACCGCCCAGCGTCTGGGATTCGAGCCCTTAGCCACAAAGCCGACATGCGCTGGAACAGTGGAGGGCGCAATCAATATGCAGAGTTCCGGGCAGAGGGCAACCTGGGTAGCTACCTGGTCAGCTGGGCCCTTCCTCAGGCAGAGGCCCGGAGGCTGAAACAGACTCAAACTTGGTACATCCAAATCACAGCGGTCAGTGCTGCATGTTCAGCCTTGGGTCGTCCAGTTGAACTCATCCGGCACGAAGCCGGAGGAATCCAAGTAATCCAGCTCCCTTTCCTCTAAGCCTTCAAGGACGTGCAGCATAATTTTGTCATCCAACCTTGGTCTGCGACGGGTGCCAGCATGATGGGCCGAAAGATATTTGCTGCGATAGCACTTTGAAATCAAAACCAGCTCCAATCCTCCGGCGCACGGCCTGTTGTTCCGCGGCTAAGGCCCTGGCTTGTCCCACTTCCTCGGCACAGGTCCGTATGGTCAGTGTGACAATAAGTGACAATGTAAGACCAACCTTGCAGACACACAAAGCAACAAGCACCCACCACCAACACCACCTTGCCCCAATGGCGGTATTGATGGCACTTGTCTTCAACATGCCCTAGCAGATTGACCACGCCTTCCTGGCGGCCAAGCGTCTCCATCAAGTGGTCAATTTTGCCACGGCGCTCAGAATCTATGATGTTTTCGAGGACCCGCTTCTTTTTCGCTGGCCCATCCTCAGATCAAGACCGATCAAAACAGCGTCGCCGCGACAAGCAATAATTTCCGGAATCAGTGCAGGACCACAACCTCCTAAACGCTGGACAAGCAAGACAAGCTCAAATGAATCAGTGAAGCACTTTTGGCCATGCGCCGGGTGGCCGCTGGGTATGCCGGGCATGTGTCAGGTATGTTGAGAGTGTATGTGCACTCTGGATATGCGCCGGGTATTCGCGGAATTTCGGACAGTTGTCTTGTCTGTCTCGAGTTTACGGCCGCTTCGCCATCATGACTAAGTTGGATCACCTGGCTACATATGGCTTCAGGAAATATGCTAGTGCATGCAAAAATTACTTTCATCAAGTTGGACACGCACGAAACTGCAGTATAGTTTGGGCATGGGTACATCATGATGCTTCGTGAAATCGATGCACCCGAACTTGGACGTAATCACCGTCGCCATACGAACCACACACAGGCTTGAGCATGCACTATGAACGGATATGCACGGATATTCTTCGAACGCATGCTCTCCGGACGGGCATGCTCCCCGGCACGGACGCAAACATGTTTTTGGATAGACGCCCTTCAAATTTGAAACGGGCGCACTTGCCGCGCTCGAAATCATCGCGTGCTCAAAAGGGATAATGCTTGACCTAGATGTATTAATGCGCCGGCGCAGTCTTGATTTACATCTCGGCAGCATCACCAGACGTGCATAGAAGGATGTTCTTCCAAGTGGATGCATGATGCACATTTACACAGAAGTAATGACGGCATGCGTCTCGATGCTCCACGCCACGGATACCCTTGTACGCACACATGGTCATGGTCTCGGGGGGAGGAGGGGCTCGCACACGGTGTAATCACAACTTTGAAGATTTAATGCTTGAAGGCTCAAGTAAGGCTGTTTGAGCATACTTGGGCCCAGTCAGGCGCAGTCACCAAACGCGGCCGCGATAAAATGCGTTAAGCTCCAGCCCACTTCATGCCCAAATTCACTCCACAGCTCCAAAAACGCCGGATGTTACCATAAATCTTACATGCCTATCCAGTCCAAAACTGAAGAAACACTGTCTCAAGCTATGCCATGGCTCTGCCTCAGAGTCCTGGCTAAGCAGGCGTTTGAGCCTTAGCGTACCCTCCACTGCATCCTTCAAGTGCTCCTGGTCAACAAAGCACATCTGGACCAGAATGAATGCCGCGGGGAGTATGACCCTAGTTCTAGACCTTCTCCTGCGTTCCTGAGTGTGTCAGCTTCTTCCAAAAACAGTCACTAGTCCAGCACACCCGTGGTGACTTTGAGCTTGCTTGGAAAACAAGAGCAGGTGCTCCTGCACCTCCTCAGACTCCTCCTCACTGACATTCGCCTGCCATGTAAGCTGCTTCTGCAGCGTGAATTGCAGTGCAATTCATGTTCAAGTGCTGCACTCAACATGTTGTTCTAAGTTAGCGCTGCACGTCCCCCCACGTTTATGGACACAAAAACCTCATTGTTGCAACTAAGTGGGACGCTATTTTGCCTTCGTTGCCACCATGCCGCGCTGGCATCGGCCGGCCGGTTAGAGGGGCGGAGCCAAAATTGCTATCCGCGATGTGGGCAGGTGATGCTAGCAACAAATGTTGTGCAAGCTGGCTTCCCTACAAGCTCATTGAATGAAGTCGTGAAACGCCGTCAGAAAGCTCTCCGCACATTAGACTCATTAGACCGCATTCAAAGGCCCCAGACCAGTAAGCAAACCGAATCGAAAGAGGAGGCTCCTTGCCCACCACCTGCCATGACGCTTCAAATGCAGACCGTGCCATGCTGCCATGTCAGACCCTCCTCAGGTGACAAGAGAAGCCGGATACCACCTGGGCTTCGACAGGCTCTGCTCCCTCAGCATCCGCTTCGTCTGCTAGCTCCTTCAGGTCTTTGCCGTAGTGAGATAGCTTCAACGGTTGTAGACCAAGACAAGCAGAGCCCTTAAGCAGTCAGTCCTGGTCGACCTGAGAGTCGCCATAGGTACCTGTGCAGCCAAGTGCTAGCATCCTTTTGCGTACAATGTGCGACCGTCCACTGCGCGAGTGACCGCATACATCAGCACAGCTTGCCAGTGGTAGACTGCCTGTGTGGTCGAAGGTCTTCTGGCGCTCCACATAGGCCTGCTGTGCCTCCACTTGATACTGTCAGGAGGCAAACGGCATTTCTCGTCGAGAGGAAAATGATCTTGCCTGCGCCTGCTGCACTGCAACCTGCTGAGCAGCTACCTGCTGGGCTGCCACCACCTGTTGGGCAACCGCCTGCTGCTGAGCAGCCTGCATCACGGACTTGCACTCAAAGCATGATGAGCGTAAGACAAGCGACCACCAATCAAACTCTGACCTGATTGTAGGCTGCCGCTGCAGCAGCTGCAGGGTTGTAGACCTGGTATGCATGGGAGGCCAGCCTCTCAGCTCACAGTAGGCCTAAAAAGTCCTAGTTTGGGAGATTCTTTTCTCGCAGGATTCTGAAACTTCTTTGTCTAGCAGGGAATGCAAGAATCGGATGGGTAAAGTTACCTCTATGGCTGCTAGTGCTGTACTTCCGGGATTCCCTGCAAACCGCAGCCAGAAGCTACTATGCGCTGCTTTGCAGCTGCTAACACACACATGCCTGTGGCTTGCGCAGTCAGTCTTCACTGACTGTCCAGCCAAGCTACAGCACAACAGCTTGCAACAAGCTGAAATTAATCTCCTTTTGCTTTGCCGTTCGCTACGGAAGCTTTCAAATCATCGTACCTTTGCGCGCGTACATTAGAGGCAGTTGTACGCTGCCGGATCTAGTTGAAGAACGCTTTGACCATCCAAGCATGCCTCTCTCATTGTGCTTGCTAGCTCGCCATTATCTCAATTTCACTCTGAAGGCCCTTTTTTTTACCCCTTACCACGTCTGCAAGAAAAAGAGTATACCTGCTGTGCGCCCTAACCCTGAGAGCAGAGTCAGCCAGGATGCTGCTTCTGCATAACACGCTGCAAGTGCCTTGCGAGCAGGACGTGGTCCTCTGACTCTTTGTCCTGTCGCGAAACTCCATGTTTGGATCTCTACCGCATGCAGTCCCTCGAACTATCAGCCCAGCTTCGCCGTAAGGGCTCGTGCTGCTCTGCTTTCCCAAGCGTTGTATGTACATCTCTGTCCACGGATTGGATGGCTGCTGGGAGTCAAGCACCCCCCGATCCCATCCAGAAGAGTTGAGAGCAGCAAAGGTGAAAGCATGAAAACCATAAGCTAGATCTACCAGGTCTGGTCCCTTTAGAGAGCGTCCTCTGCTGGGGTGTCCTCGCAGTCCCGGAGCTGTTTCACCAGCGCCTGGTAAGCTCTGGGAGTCCCACAACCAAAGGCAGTTGGGTTGAGCTCCCGCGGCCTTTACGCCGTCTGGTGCAAGCTGGCGGCAGCTAATCTTGACGGAACCTGACCAAGGATCAAGGACGACATGCCACCCTCGCCTCTCGTCTTTGTAAATAGCGTTACGGCATTGTGGCACCTGGGAACCCTCCGATCTGCATTTTTCGAGGCCAAACTTTGGCGTTTCCCCAGCAGACGACCTGGCTGCAGAAGAAAGGTGTTGAGAAGTGCAAGCAAGCCAAGGTGTGCGAAAGCGAAAGATCCGCAAAGTGAAGCTGCTGGAGCAAGTGTCAGGGAATCTCGGGGCTTGAGACAGAATCGGACAACTGCTCACCTCTGAATCCTGAGCGGTGAACTGAATCCGTCATCAATTCTTCATTTGGACCAAGCCACAGAGATCATTCGCGCGTCAAAATCCAAAGCTTTCCTGGAGAAACATTCAAGCGTGGCTGCATGCTGCACCCCCAAACATCCCTAAGGCCAATCTTTCTGGGTAAGTCTCTTCATGCCACCGTAACGGAAGGGAAGCAGCTGCTCCGGCTCCCGATTGACCTGACCTGGCATGGAACGTGTGTGTAACAGGAAACCTTGCATTTTCCTGGATGCTCAGCTTCTCGAATGCATCGATGCAGAAATATGGTAATTTCAATAGGGGCCCCCAACAAAGGTACCCCTGATTTTGGGAAACACCCATATGGTCGCCCCTGGATCATCTGCAGCAGACTGGCCTTCTGGATAGAAGCAAAGCCAGCCGCCAGTCTGCAGGTGCTTGTCAACCTTAATCCGAAAGATGCAGCCAGGCGAAGCTGGGAGTATAGTAACAATGGAAAAGAAAATTGGAAACTACCATCGTGTTTTATGGGGATTATACAGTAACAATGGGAAATAAAATGGAAACTACTATAGCCCCCCTTAAGTACATAGAATGTGGGGTATATTGGAATCTTATTACAAGATTGGCCAATTCCATGCTCTATCTACCTAAGGGGACTACAGATACTGGGAGCATGTTCGCCCAGCAACAATTATAACAATTTCACAAGCGTGGCTTCTGAGCCTAGCACTTCTAGGTCAATTTTCTCGTTCTTTTCCTTGTCCACCTTGAAGACACCAGATGCGTCGCTCATGAAGTAAACAGGGAAGTGGCCCACGGAACCTCAAACAAGGAAAACGTGGCAGAATCTGATTACAACATGGGGGAGAATGTATCACTGAAAAGTGAGGAACGGCAAATCGTCGACAGCAGCGGCAGCTCGAACAAATGCGCATCCATGTAAGTTCGACCTGGGAGGGACAGCTCATGCTTGCTGCTGCGTATGGCATGCTGCCCTTTCAAAAGAGGCCGAGGGCAAGCAGAGTGTTTCTTGTTGCATATGCTCGTTTTCCCCCTCTGACAAAAGAGCTCCACATTTTGCTCTAACAGCACTGCTCTGAGGCTGCTGCAACGGGTCAGCACTTCGGTGGGCATGCTGATAGTTGCAACAATCACGTCAAAGAAGGAAGTATGATTTCCTGAATTAAGTCAGCGCTGCTGCAGCTACTGCAGATGCTGCACAGATCTGCAAAGCAAACGGGGCCGCATCAACATGTCCCAGGGCACAAGGCAGGCAAGGATCCGAGGACCATGAGAGGGTGATCCGTCACGTTCTCCATCTTCTGCTGCATCTCCCTCCACCTGAGCAAATCACCTACGCACCGTTCTTGGTGGCTGCTGCTGGCATTTTAGCCCAGGCACGCAGGCGCAGTCTCCTGACAGTTTTGTGTGGTTCGCAAGTTCCAAGAGCTGTTCAAAGGTGACATTAGATGTGCTCATGGATCGACTGCATCAATGAAGCCACGTCGCGCTGTCATAGGATATTGACAACCAAGGGCAGAAGAAGAGGGTTATTCGCCAGCAGGCCTTTCTGACACGAAGCCGCGAATGCTCTGAGCTGGTTTGACCCACAAGTTTGGACATAAATTGGACGCGGCAACTCTGACTCTCTAATAAGAAGAAGCGGGACATGCCTATCCTGTAAGAAGTGCAATCTGCACAAGTTGCAGGCAAGTGTCCTGGACCAGCCCTAGCGAAATGCCTTCCCTCGTCCTGAATGAGGCTTTGCTTGGGCTGTCATCCAGCTGCACATCCCGCTTTGTTGCTACTACCCTCCCTGACCGCCTCTTCTGCAACGGGAAGAAACCTCAGCTCAATGCACCAATTTCAACGGATCTCAGAACTTGGCGCACAAATAAATGCGAAGAAGCGAATTCGAACAATAACCAGAAAAGCGGGCAGAGACGCTTTTGTGTATATGACATGCTCAGAGTTCAAGGAGACAGAAAGACAGACAAAGAGAGACAGAGATAGAAAGTGTGCGGGACCAAGAATAGCAGAGATGATGACATACTGGGAGAGAGAGCAAGAAGGAAAGAGAAGCTTGACGACAATCAGATGGGCAGTTGCTTCCAGGACATTCGCCATTCGGACGAGCTGCTCAGAATTTTCATTGCAATTGCAGCCCACAACATGTTCCTCAGTAGACCGGATTCACGAACATCGACGAATGCACCAGAACGAGCTTCTTACTCTAAGCGGCAAAACCAAGATCAGCCCAAAGCAGCCAACGCAGAGTTTGCCCAGCATGGCGCCCATGGCGCGATAAGACAAAAAGGCTCTAGCAAGTCCAAAGCCAAGCTGCTGCAGCATGGCACTCGCGATGCAAACTTCCCTGGTTCTGGACTTGCAAGTGCTTCGAGTACCAAAACATTTCGTGCAGGCGACGACCTGTAACCAGCAAACCTCAGGCACAAGCATACATCTGCGGAGGCGGCTGCATCGGAACCTGACCATAAAAGCCTCGTCAGAGATCAGGCTCAATGTGCTCCCTGCTCATCCAGTGCTCACGTTGCATCAAACAGTTACAGCAAATCCTTGCAGCATTCCATCATTGCACGACTAGATCGGTGGCAAATCCGCACCACTTGGGGGCGCCGCCTTGCTGCGGCCTTGGGCAGGGCAATTCAAGTCAGTTGCATGCCAATCCCATCAAATCGTGAGCGCATTTAAGGCCTGAGCATGTGCGGGTGCCAATTTCCAGGTAGCCTGCCAAGTGCAATTGCTACAGCGGTCTCCTTTATCCCTCTCTTGCTTCTCGGCCACCTTGGGGAGGCCGTCCTTGGGGATGCCGTCCTGGGTGAGGCCGTCCTTGGTGAGACAAAGGGCGGCTGCGCGCCGCTCGGGGGTGGTGGCCGGTGGATCGCCGGTGGCCTCAGGCATCGATATCGGAGGGGAGGGGGGGGGCGAAACAGAGTGACTTTGAACCCTTTCTGTTTCACAACTTGTTCAAACTGGGCTGGCCCGCGGTGACCTAGGGGGCGGTGGTCTGTCCGGCAGCCGCTCCACAACTTCCTGTACAGGAGCCAGTGCCAACCTTAGCGACCCATCCAGGAAAGAGAAGCAAATGCCAACAGCTTAGGCTGCTACTCATCGCCGGCACTACCTTACAGCGAAACGAAATATTCTTCTACTGTGCAAATGACTGGAGAGTCTGAGGTCCTTGCCAGCTTGCCGAAGTGACTTGACCTGCTGTGTGCTCGCCGCAGTTTACTTACTAGGTGTCCCATGGCTTGAAGGCGTCCCTCGAGCCCCGTGTAGGGTGTAGAAACATCTTGCACAAACATTATAGAGATTAATAGTGCCAGTAGGTGCAGCACCTCCTGGGCCTGCCGCGGCGATTTGTGCCTCGAACTCAGAAACCGCGCCGTGAATGGAATCACCCCTGCCACGGGCATCTCAAACCTAAGCCTGGCACATTTGCGAGAAGTCTGGCAGCTGGATGGGCGCTGAAGTGCCAAAGGTGAACCTCATGATCTTGAGGTGTGGGAGTCTGTGCCCCAGTGGCTAGGGGAGATGACTCACGTACTCTCAGAAACAGCTATTTGGTGTGGCTCCATAGCTTTGTCTGTCCAGATCTTTGTACAAAGCACCGTCACCGTCCAAGCTACTGGCACCACTATGACCAGAAGCACTCTAGCGCTGTGCAGATGCGCATCAAATTCCCATCTCTCTGACTTCTATCACTTCTATCCACCATCAACCAGCCAGGGGCTGGTGGACTGAAACCTCCTCCTTCTCATGTCTGAACGGATCCTCAACAAAGTCCATCTTCACAAGCACGGCGCAGTGGTCAGAGGCAAGTTCCTCAGCTCGAGAAACAACACGATCGATGCGCTCCACCACCCCGTCCGCTTCAAGTCTGACTGAATTGCGGCCAAGTTCATCTGCAGGCGTGTCTCGCACCACTCGAACAGCTTCGCACATCGGGATTGCCCCATTGTCGAGCTGTAATCCAAAGACGTGATCAATCCTTGCTAGGTTGCCGCTTCAAAAGCCCATCTGCCTGCTCCCCCCTGGCTGCCCTAAGCTCCTTGTTCCGAAAAAGCCGCCGCACCAACCAGCAGGGAAAGTCGCCGAACAGCAACAGGGACCGCCAGCCTCCTTGCATGCAAGTTGATTCAGGGCATGTTGTAAAGGCAGCATGGCGCAGCAGCCTGCCACAAATCTTTCCATCTCACATCGGCTGCTATCACCTTGGGCACTGGAGAACCAGAGCAAATAAAATATTCTGGTTTGCTTAGAAACTGGCCGAATAAGCTGTCCAGGGCAAGAAGGCTGGAGAATTCAGATCGGCTGCAAGCAGAAAGGTTGACCTGTAGAGCAAGAACATTGCATGAAGACTGGGCGGTGTCATCTATCATTTGCATTACATGCGCCTGTCGTTGTGGGGAAGCTCTTCCGATCGCAATTCCTCGATCCAACGCATTACCTGTGTGCAAATGCCATCAAGGCAAGCGTGGCAGATATGCGCTGTATGACCTCCGAAGCCTGCCGCCGCTGCTCACTCGATGCAATCCTTTGATCCAGCCAACTAGTTCGCGTTGAGCACCCCCTCACAGCGAACATGGAACCCTAGTTTTGAAGGACAGCCACTTTTGTGAGACTTTTGGAATCCCATGCTAGTTTGGAGGAGAGCAGCTTGTGAGAAAGATGCGTGTTGACCACCCACATCGGCCGTGCATCTTCTTCCTGCATGTCCAAGAGCACCTGCAGCACACCAAAATCTCGTGCGACCATGCCTCAGTATTTCTGCGGGTAGAGGTGCCGCAAGTGCGCCCCGCGGCTGCTCCACCTTATCCATGATGAGGTCGTGCTGACCAGCAGGCCCCTAGCAGCTCAAACAGCTCTAGCAGCTACAAGTGCGACTCACGAAAAGGGATCCATCATAACACGATCCCTCTTTGTCCTCCGGGCGGTCGAACAGAAGACGTCTCGACTGAAGGATGGGGAACCTGAGATCTGCATCCTTGATGCTTGCTGCGCACGCAACTCATCCCGCCTGCTCAAGATGCACAATCCATACTGCCCCTGTGTGGAGTGCTGTAGAACTTCGCCTTCACGAAACGAGTCCTTCACGATGAAGGCTTTGCGGTTCAGGCGTGCGAGTACTTGACACAGATCTACATCATCTCCCCTCAAGGGCGTCTGGCTTAAACTAGTGAATTTCTGGATGCGCAAATGCACCGAGTTCAAGCATTTAAAAGCTTCGAGTCCTTCAGGAACGTCGCGCTCAGAGTGGCCGCGAAGGCTGTGTGACGTAGGCCCGACATGCTGGCGACTTGTTGCGGCTGGTCGTCAGCATGCCTGCAGAGGCCGGTCGGCTTCATGTTCGAGCCTACAATTCTCTCCACTTGCCCACAAGTGCTGCCGTGATGCAGGGCCGACCATTTTCGCACTCGCAATCTCTGAGTGTTGACCTCAACCTGCACATTGGGCCATCATGAAAAGCACAGCAAAGCCCCAACTGTCATTCCCGCACCTCCTGCAAGCACGCGACGTCGGCTCCAGATCTGCGCACGACCCCGGCGATCCTCTCCAGATCGTAAGCACCATCGCCGCCCAGTCCTGAGTGAATGTTGTAGGTGAGGATGCCAACCATGAGCCGCTTTCAGGCATCAGAAGCTCGACTCATGGCAGTGGCGTTGGAAACTTTCGTCTATCGCTAGGGCATGCAATGCCACGGTGACAGTACTGCACAAGCTGGTGCCTACATGCAAACAATTTCCGAGCAGCTGAGCTGTCTGAGTTTACACCAACTAGTTGCTGAGCTTCAACTGCTTGCTTGAAAGTATATCAAGTGGCGAGCGGGCAGGGATCCAAGCTTGGAACATGCAAAACACTCACTCGTCAGAACGCTCAAGCACATCCAGACTGCATGTCAACTGCTTCTTGGTGCAAGACTCACCACAGCCATCATCCTCATCATCCTGGCGCGTCTTCAAGCCAAAGTTATGCAGTGGCAAAGTGTGATGAGCGCAATGGTCTTGGGACATAGCAAGCTAGAATGGCAGCCTAGCAAGCTGCAATACCAGGTGAGCCGGGCTGGGTCCTCGTCCACCAATCCTTTGCCACGCTTAGCCTCATCTATCATTTCTCATTCCCCCAATGGCAGAGAGAAGTTTCACTGGGTGCAATGCACGCTGTGACCGAGGACCTCGCAATCCGCGCCGCTTGTCTGTGCATTCTGTGCAGACCAGCCCATTCAACAGCAACCAACAGGCGTCCCACTTGCCGACTGGGAATGTGATGGGGATGGCGGCCTGACGAGACAAGGAGATTGCCAGAGTTCTACCCCAGATCCATGGCTTCAGAATTTGCGCAGGCAGACAAGTCTTTTCCACGGGACGAAGCTCAAAGCATGATTAGACGAAGGACTTAAAACAGCAACTTCCTGTGCTGCAGCTCGCATCAACCTTGGCATGCGGTCGAGCGAATGCCGGACATTAGCAGCATGATGCTTCTACAACTGGCCTCTTCTGGACAAAGCAGCATCGTCGAATGCACACACGGTGTATGATGCCCATAGTCATCCCCAGAGGAAGGTAGCGAGAAGTGAGAGCCAAGTTCTCATGCAATGTCATGTTGGATCCTTATCACCATGTCCAGTCTCTCGACAAGGAGCGGTTCTGATCTCCGAACCTCAGCAACTTTGAAGCCGTTCGAAAGACTTCAGAAGTACAGTGTTGTCTATCCTGGCAAGCCCTTGAAAGCGCTCTCTCATCCCTCCATGCACCCCTCCTACACCACCAGGTCACCACCCCAAGGTCAGAAGCCTTGCAGCCAATCTGAGGCCCAGTCGGGCACTGCGGTGGGTCCGGGAGGTTGGGACCACCCGCCTTCCTTTCGATCAAAACACAACGGGATTTCAATCAAAGCTCTGGCCTAGGCAAAGCCTAGGAGTAATGCAGAAGCATCAGAGCTCATGGGCCCATTAGAGAAGAGAAGAGGTGGTATCTAGAAGTAGCAGCACCTTAGATCGACAAACACATTGGCCCAGGGCCTGTGGAGGACAGTCTTCAACCACTTCATGCGCCGGTTGCAAACCTCAAGAAGGGCATGTTACATGGGCAAGCACGCTCGCGAGTGGCTCCTGATACCAGCAAGGATTGAAAGATCGACAGCAAGGCTAGGGTAACCACGGCCTCGCTGGAACGTGTATGCCAGTAGTTCGTGCCCTGACCTCTGTCCTGCACCATTTCAGGAAAAGTCGGCTAAGCCTCTTCCGAGACCTCAGGTGTAAGCAGGTGCAGCGTGCAGCATTCCTTCGCTTCGTCGTACTCGTAGAAGCCCTACGACACGATTCATGCTCGCAAGTACTAGCCCTGGATCATGGAGTCATGGCCTTCTTGCAGCGCTTTTCGAAGTTGTAGTTGTGGGTCAGCTCATCCAGCGTGATCTTGCGGGCTCGTGGGCTCTGAATCACTTGCAGCTGTTGATTGGCTAGCAGCGACTGCAATGAACAGACTTGAGAATGCGAGCATTTGTCTCGCCAAGGTGCCTCACCCGCATACTCCTTTCGCCAAGTGCAAGTTTTTGACCACGGCTCACCAGGCCTCTCAGACATGACATGGACTGTCTCTGGGCCGGATACATTTTCCGGTTCCGGTGGTTTTGCCAAGCGGCTTGCAAAGGCCGCCCTTCTCCTGGCAACCTGAGCAAGCAAGTTGAGATCACCTCTGCGGCTCCTACAGGTACACCTCAGCGAGAATGCCTGCTTTCTGTTGGAACCGCTTAGATGGACAGTCGCCTGGGAAGCTGTACCAGGTCGCCTTCAGTTCCAGAAAGAGACCAAAATGAGATCCTGATTTGATGAAATGATCTGGCCTGGTCGTAGGCGGCATGTTGGTGGTTGGGTCTATCGCACCCGACGACATACCCATACCTGGGAGTCAACCCTCACTCAAAAACCAGAACACATCAAGCAGCCTAGACCTGTCACACGCCTATGGGACTGAGCCCTTACAAGGAATGAGTCGAAGCTCCTTTGGTAATCGTCCAAGCTGTTCTTCGGGCCCGTGCAGGCACCGCTGTCAAAGTGACCTCAGCGATGGGGTGCAGGTTTTCAAATCGATGACTTCGCAATAGATGTGACAGGGTGATGGTGTTTCGCTGCATCAAGCAACACGCGAGGAATCGATTGAGACTTGGCAGGGCAGCAGAAACTGAGAAGCGAACACAGGTGAGCGTATGGGTGGCCCGTCCTCTCGAGCTCGGGCGTCGGCTTCATGGTGATCTCAGAGCGCACTGGTGGCTCCGCTTCTTGCATCTCCATGCATCACTTGAAAGTACAGGTACATACTAGGTGAAAGCCCACTCCTGACTCCACGCAAAAGCATAGCGCCAAGATAATGGCATTCGAAAGGTGAGCCTTGTAGCGAAGAATTCGGACGATGCCAAACTTGCGAGGGCAATGTCCAACAACCTCGCTGTGCAAGTACCACCTCAGACAGCCGAACCTCTACTTGCGAAAGTGCAAAATCAGAACTGCGATTCTTACACATAGGCTTTCCAGCTTCATGTACTGTGAAATGGGTGCTCTTTCAAGGGGCATCACACCCGGCAGGTTGGCCATGTTCACGTTCCTGAGCTCGTTCCCCACACTCTTTGCAGGGAGCGCTGCCTTGAGATGCACAGCTGCTCATCAAGGCTATCCGAGGGTCGTGTCTTCGTAGTTCTTGTCGTTCTTCGCGCGGTAGGCGTAAAAGGAACTCAGCATGAATCATCAAAAAGTCCATACAGTCCGAAGCATTATGAGACTTCAAAACACGGATGGCCTGAACACAACGAGTGAAGCGAAAAAATACTGAGAAGGCCTTCTTTGATTCTAGAAAGGAAGCACTCACAATCTGCATGGATTGGCGGCCCCAATTCCTGAGGTTGTTGCTACTCGCCACGGGTGTTGTTTGCTGCCTTGGACGCAAGAAATCTAAAGGCGGCGCGGGCAGGATGGGCTCCTTCCAAAAAGTCTGCGCCTCGACTATCTCCTCCTCGTCAAAGTCTGCACCCGCCAGGAAGTCTTCCAGATCCAGGTTATCGGTTTCCTTACCACGAAGCTGCCTGGCATTTCCCCTCTCAGATTCAGACATGAAACTTATCATGCGGCAGCTCTAGCAGCAGCAAACGCAGAAGGTGTTCATGCATGTATCTACCCATCCACCCTACCATGTGCTCCAAGGTCACATCAAGTCACATCCCAAGCCTCAGCGACAAGCCGCAAGAGTCGTTGTGAGCTTCACACTCGTCCTCCGCCGCGCCAACTTTTCTTAACAAGGTGGCTACTACAAAAGAATCACTAAGAGCATTCCAGCCCAGGCCACCTGTTTTGTGCATCTTGCACAAGTCTCGAGTCTGGCCCACCAACGTGTCACGCTGACATGCGCAGGCGTCCGAACACTGACTGTGAAAAACTGCCGGAAGCCGATGTCTCAGCAATGAGTTGGCACGTGCAAACCGTTTAATTTCAGCTTAGTCTAGCATGCTTGGTCTGGCTTCCTGCAACTAAGCGCATGGCTTATGCGTCATGTCCCGAATCAAGCAGGTGCCTATCTTACATTAAAACTCTCTGTCCCAGGGCAGGGAATGGCATCATTGTCGTATGAACTAAGCAGGTCATGGCCTTCTCTATGCCTGCCCTAGTCCCCTGCCATTGCGAGTGGCACAGTGGTTTGCGACGGGCAGGCCACTGGTCCAAGCGCCAGCTGCAGCAGCTGTTCGTCTAGGACACTAATGTGAACAGAATGCCCCAGACTACAAGCGGTGAGCCCGCACAAAAAGTCCAGGTGGAAGATCACTTGAACACGTTGGACTGCTTTCGCGTCTTCAACAAATCTTTCAGCGTCACGTCGTCCACCTCGAGAAGCTGAGGTCGCCTCGGGTGCATTTCTTTCACAGGTCATGCCAACTCCTGCGATCTAAGAAGCAGCTCTCTGCCTTTGGCTATGCCTTTGTCCTCTTGGCCCACAGTGTTACGAAATTTCAAGCTTTGCATCTCAGCAACTGGTATGGCTCTTGGCCAGGCCGCAGACCGAGTTCCTCCGGAACCTCCAAGTTGGGCTCAACAGGAAATGCGCAAGGCTTGCGCACTGCTCCCTTAAGGGGCTTTGGGTGCAAGGAGTACGCTCTGCCAGGACGACATGTGGCTTGGGACGGATGACATCCAAAATCAGTCTTTCTTCTGCCGATGCAGAAGTCCCTGAAACTCAAAGACTCCTTGGCACTCTTGCAGATCTTTTTGAGTGTGGTTACCAGATCGAGGAAACACGTTACGAGAATTAAAGGTTGTGCCAAAAACAAAAATGAGCTATCCCATCGAAGCCTTGTATACACAACCCCCAAAATGTGGGGAGAAAACCACCCAAAAAGATTATGCCTAGGATGTTTTCTGCACCTAAAACTCTACCTTGCAAACGGTTCAGCCTATCATGCACCAAACGGGCATTGCGCGTGATAGGTCAGGTCGTCTTATATCATTCTACGGGCCCAGCTCGCATCATATCGCAGCTTTGCTCCCTTTGCTGTGCAACTTTTAGCTCATGATGCCGCTACGAAGAAATTCTCCCAACTACTTGCACTTCGAATGCAAGCCCCCTCTGAACGACGTGTGTGGGAGAGCAAGGTACGCTCTTCAGTGGCCTGTCTCAGCTTGTTGTGTTGTTTCAGTGTTGGCATGCCATCACACGAGGAAGTTCCTCCGAAGTACCGCAGACTCCTCTCTGTGTTTTCTGGAGGCCAATATGTCAGAGTGTCGGCCTCAAAGCTCTGGTTTGAGGAGTTGTTCAGTGTTGGCTTTGAGGGATGTTTAGGGTCTTAAAGTCAGGGTTCCGGATGTTGCAGTTGATAATTCAGTTGCGGATCCCACCCATATGCGGGTTTCCCAAAATCAGGGGTCCCCTTTTGGGGGTCCCACCAATAAGGACTGTACTATTATGGGGTCCATATTGTTGTCCCCCTATTTATGGAAACTACCAAGTAGAAGGGCAAGGATCCCATCAACCCCACCTGAGACCAGTCTTCACGAGGACCCTCCGGCCAGTTGGCATATGGGTTGATGCCAGCGACCTGCGTCACCTTCCAGCTTATGCTCGGCAGCTCAGGAAATTTATTTTCTTCAACATCAGGGTGACACTAAAAAAAACAAGGCACCCAGAAGAGACCAATGAATGCGCTGAAGGCGTAGATGCTAATCCTGATTTATTTATCCACTTTGCATGTCAACCAGGCAACAGAACGCCTTCCAGATGGCAGCTTGATGAATTGAGCCACGGTTATTGCTTGCAGGTAATGCCAACTCCCTTTTTGCTTCCATGGCTCTTCAGAGGATTGGAGAGAGGGTCCATGTCCTGCTGCTATGAGAAACAACCAAAAGCCGACCATATGAGATGGAACTCACCAAATATTCAAGATAGCAGTGAGCCAAAGTCTCCTCCTCAGGATCAGGGTTCCACTCACCTCGCTCTGGGGAGTCGTCCCGATCGTCCATGACCCAAATATCCTAAGACGCGGGACGCATCTTCTGGATTCGCACATGCTGAACCTGGTCAAGAAACTCTTCTGAGCTAAAGGCCGACAAGTCCAGAGCCTCCAAGAACTGGCCGTCTTCTGGCAAACCGCGCGCGATATGACTTCAGAAGAAACTGCTTTCCTATTTTTTCAGGCTGCAGGAAAAAGGTACAGGGGCCCCGGCTCCACAAGAGGTCCCCGCCGGATCGGATCTCCTGCGCGTCTGGAGGGATGCCAGTGACCTGGCGCATTGATAGCTGAAATGACGAAAACATTCGCACCAGTCACCGGTCCTTCTCGATGACCGTCCTGAGGTCCTTGACCTTGTCGCCGCGGTTGAATTGGACTTCGAAAGACAGCTGGCCGGGCTGATTCACCCAAAAATTGCCTCGGCATGTGAGAAGCAGCGTCGTGGACCAAATGCAGCTACATGGGTGTCTGGAGTCTACATGTTCTGATGGAGTAGAACACTGCATTCGACAATTGGAAGCTTTCGGGAATCTTATCCAGCTTCCAAACAGGGTGACCGAACATGCCATGCCCATGCTTGCCATGTAGCCCAAGTCTTCGCCAGATGGTGCATCCTGCGGAAGGCCAGCAGTTTGAGGAGCGGTGCTTAGAGGAGCAAAAAAGGTTCTGTCCTGCTGCGCGGCTTCCTCGATAGCCTCCAGCGTTGCAGCCTTCTTCTCCGCCATTTGCTGTTCACTGAGCAAGGGTGACACGAGGTGCTTCCAATCTGCCCGCTAAGCATACACATGTGTTGCTCCAGCAGTAGTTGAGGTGCTAATCCGTCATCACGGCGGTCTCGGTCTCGGCACGTCGTCTAAGTGAGATCTGCCTCTGGGCTCCTGTGCCAAGTGTCGCTGCATTGCAGTCCAGATCTGAATTCTCTGCAGTTGGAGGCCTGCGGTTCCCGTGAAGGTGAGCTGCTGGGAAAGGATCAGAATGCCAGCTCCCAGCAGCAGCCTCACAAAGGCAACTTAGCCAGCAGTAGCTTCTTCGAAGCCAAAAAATTGCGGCTTCCTAAACATCAAGCTTCTTGTCATAAACGACTCCGTTTGGCTCGCAGCTATTCAATGTGATTGCGGCCATGTCACAGGGACAGGCATGGTCTCTGCTGAGCCATCTCTCCTGATCTCTCCTGGGCAGAAACGGATGGGTGTGGTGTAGGATGGTGCAAGCTGTTTTTGCTGTAGAAATTGCTACGCAGCACTGCTTGTGAGCAGCAAGCGTCCTGTTTGGATGCAGGCACAGCTGGGGCACTATGGACAGATCTTGTACCGTACACGGCTGCAGTGAGTCCAAGTGACAAAGGATTGGCAAGCAGAGCAAGCTCACTGGCTTTGCAACTTAAGACAAAACCCTAGGAATGCTGGGCTCCCACAGAATGAGGGTTCGAGGGGCTACAAGCCGTGAGCCGCAGCTTCCTCCGGCCATTGCTGGGCCTCTGGAACAGCTGCCTCAGCACTTGCTTCTGGTCTGCGCGATCCTTCTTGCAGACATTGAGGCCAGAACTGAGCCAAGGTAAAGGGCTGCCAGCCACAGCACGAACCTGGACAGCTGTCGAGGCACGTTGTTCCCTAATTCGGTACAATCCGCATGAATCCGCCAAGGCCCTGGCATCAGCCGCGCAAATAACCTTAATTCACCCCGTCATTTTGCTTCGGCCCCCCAGCATCCAGTAGATTCGAAGTTTGCTGAAGGAATGGGCCGGCACGCAGCCAAGACACACTGTCGGATTGTGCACAAGAGGAAGGATGGTAAGTTCTGGATCCCAAACGTCCGCAGTGCAGCACACGGTTGACAAGCACACAGACCCTGTAGCGATGTTGTCTCTTGCCATGAAGGCAACAAGAACAAGTGCATCTCATGATCCTATCCCTGCGACAATATGAGAACCACGGAGGCGGAGCTGATATCGGCCTCGCCGACAAGAAGCCGGACTCTGGTAGGACTAGAGTGCCCTTAGCCTGCCAGAGCACGCCCTCTGCCCAAGCTCAAATTAAATTTACAAGCTTCGCACGTCAGCACAAGGTCATTCGATCAAGTTCGACCCTTTTTCCGCTCAACGAGGCTCGGTACCTACCCCAGCACAAGAGTGCCCTTAGACAGAGCGGCGAGAGATAAAGCGCACTAATCAAGTTGAGCTTGAAGGCAGCGCAGGCTAAAGCAAAGCCTTTTGGGTAATCATCTGACAAGATTCTTGGAGGCACCGTTATTTCTGTTGCAACACCTTTGTTTTCACATTCGTGGTTTCTTTGAGGCTTTCTCAGGAACGTCCCCATTGTAGTCCTCCGCTTCAACGGAGCTGTAGCCTTGGCAGGTGAACATTGCAGACGAGCGCAGAGACCAACGCCCTGCAGACTGAACAGGGGTCCAGGCGACAGTCGCTAATCCCAATATAGAGCTGAAGCGAACCAAACCCACTTCAAGCAACCGCAATTGCCTTCTCGTGCGGGAAGAACTGTTCCCCAAACAGTATACTGTAGAGGTTCTAGATTCAGATTTGTTCTAAAGAACAGATCCTGCTCCAGGGGGTCCCGGTAAATCACCAGTCGTTGTCTCGCATCATAATCTCCTCTTGTCTCCCCTCTTGTAGCTTGGGAACCGGGTGGCGCTGGGGCCGGGGGTCCCGGAAAATCGTCAGTCCTTGTCTCCCACTATAATCTCCTCTTGTCTCCCTTCTTGCAGCTTGTGCACCACAGGGGGCTGCCGCGAGGGGGAATCGCTTTTTTTTGGGAACCGGTGCTGCCGGGTCCCGCGAAATCGCTAGTCCTTGTTCCCATAATGATCTCCTCTTAGGCTCAGCTCCCCATGCACTACCAGTCTCTCAAGGCATTTCTGGTAGACCAAAGCCTTTTCGCGGAGTTTTTTTTACGGAATGATACGTACTCATAAACTCTTCGGCTGCTTGGAGTCGATGCTGGTCTAATTTGTCGTGCCTTGTCCCATTTCAAAGGTAAAAACAGCTGCGTGGTTTGATTCAGTTGAGCGACTATGATTGCGCAAGTGCACGGCCAGCTGCGATGCCAGTTCAGGCGATGCTGCCACCAGCACACGGCCTACACATTGGACAGCTTCAGACACTGCCACGCTCCATTGCGGATCTTGCTTGAACTCTAAACCCTTAACCCTAAATAGTAGTTTCGTTTTTAATTTCTATTTTCCCAATATAACCTTGGGGGATGCAAATCAATGCCCAGCTTGTTCGGCCAAGCGGCGGGACGCAAGATCAAAGTCACCACCCAGGGTGTCACAGCAAACGCCACCGGCTTCTTCTACAATCACCTGCCCTGCACAAACGTCCCAGGGATAGATGCCGACCTGAACCATATCTGTTTGCAAAGAACAGCACACAATTCAGCCTAGGCTTGAAAGTTCAGCACAGGCCTCGAAATAGGCATCCAGCCGGCCACGGGCCACATGCACCATGTCAACTCCTGCAGAGCCACCACAGCGCATGGCCCGGATGGGGTGGGCCAGCAGATCGCGGCTGATGCCTCAACAGAAACAGGTACATCACCGACCTCATTCACAATGAGACCACGGCTGCACAATGATCGCGGCCAAGAAGCCCAGAATACGGTCCACCACTTTGGGCCCGCGGGAGTATGAGGGCAAATGCAGATTGACCAACGCAGTCGTTAAGTCCTGTGCAGTTGCTGTGTTCTATTTGGGTTTGATACTGGTGAATGCTCAGGAGCGTTCTGGCCTTGCAGCCACTGGACACGACCCGTCTCCCATTGCAATATGCACCACGGCCCTGGACAGCCGTGTAGAGCCTCCACTGTATGCAAGCATGCCAAAGCGATGCAGCTCACGCTCGTAGGATAGTGCGAGCAAGGTTCTCATCCAACTTTGGGATGAAGCACACGCCAAGGACGGCTTTCTTCTTCACAGCCAGACCGATCAGAACACAGCACTCTGCCTGTTCACGTCTTTCAAAAGCTGACGGTCACAGTGCACATGTCGGGCAGTGGAACTAGTCCGACTCGTGGTATATGATGACCCATGCATCAGCGACAGCCTGCCGATGGATGAAATTCGTGGTGCCATCGATTGGGTCAACAATCCACGTAGGGGCATCTGTCAACTCCTGCAGAAGACACGTGTCGGCGGCTTTTGTCTCTGGCACTCGGCTCAAAAAGGTGCATGTACCTTTGTGATACATGACTGGTAGGACCAATCACGGTATCCAAGGCGGCAACACAAGGACTCCAATCCGTTTCACGCTGGAGCAGCTCCTCCTTGTTGGCAGTCTCTTCTGCCAGCACCCGAAAATCTGGCGCTGCCGTCCTATGGAAAGCATAGGACCGAAATGAATAAAGTCCGTTCATCGGCACGAGTGGGCATGGATTGCCAAGCCGCCTCAGTCGCTTGAGGACCAGCTCTTCCACCTGGCGGTCATACTTTGTCACCAGGTCGGCGGGCGAGGACTTTTCCTGCATAATCCTATCATGCTTCAGCAGCCCGCCCAAGGAGGAAGAAACTGGCAGTTCCTGAATGGATCAGGATGGTGATGGACCAAGCTCTTTCTGCATGCCCAACTTGACATGTCAAGCACTGAATCCTGTTGGATTTGAGAAAGAATGCAGGTCATGCCATGCAGTCCTCGACACTTGCCTGCGCATCGTTTCGGGCGAAGCATTCCAACATCAAGTTGCCGGCTTCCTGCGCAGCAGCAACCTGGCATGTCTCAAGCAAATGCGGTTTCGCGTGCCACACGGCATGCCCAAATCCGTGTGAAAACGAATGCAAGGGGAGGCACTGCTTCATCAAGATACCGGTTGAGGTCTTCCGTGGAAGGCACAGCCATGGCGCGCAAGGTTTCCTGGACCCTTTAACTTTCTCTTTCCAAAGACTTTGAGATCACGTCTGTGCTACCCGTGCCAGAACTTTTGCAGTCTACGGCCTCTGCTAGCCATTTGAGCTGAAAAAAAACCGCGCACGGCTTAATGACTCCCTGATCTCAAGTTCTCAGAAGCTGGCCGAGGAGTGCGGCTCCTTCTGCATACCGCCTGCGTGCTAGGGCCAGATCAAGCTTGTCACATGCTCCACGTCCCCATGATTGCCTTCCTTCAGACTTAGCATGCGGCCCGACACCAAAGCTTTGTTGGCCATTTGCTGACTGCGTGAGCTGCCAAACCTGAACGACATGAACCATCCTGCATCGATTCATTAGATAACAAGAACTTAGCCAATGCTTGAACCGAGGCCACAGCGTGTACTCCTTGCTTGCACTGGAGCCGAAGGTATCCTGTCCGCTTGCTTGCACCCAGAGCTCCCAACTGCCAGGCAGCTGGTGCCTGCCTCCAGGCTATCTGCCCCGCTACCCGCCTGTAGCCGTTGTATGCTGCTGTAGCCATGGAGAAAACATGCTACTAGAAGAGGAAACTTAAGGTTGCGGCGCTCGTGCTGCTTTCCGCTGGGCCGGCCTCAGCTGAGGCAGGTCATCGGCCGCAAGCACGGATCTCGTTTAGGCCCCAGTTGCAGCACCAATTCCAGCTGCGCCAGTGTTACCGTCTGCTGCTGGCTTGGCCATGCTGCTGGCAGCACCACCTGGACGTGCACAGAGCAAGGGCATCGTAATCGCTTCCTCACATTAATAAGACCCCCCTAATAATAAACAATAAATCCGGGACCCTAAAAATTCCTCTTGAGCATTTTAAGAGGGGCTGTACTAAAGTTAAAAGGAGCCAGATCATAATGAATTAGGGGGGGGGGTTTTGAAGTCGTTAGGGGGGTATAATAGAAAATCCAAAGGAATTAGGGATCCCCTTGACATCCTAGGTTTTGGTTGATTTTCATATGGTTTTATAAAGGATTGTATATACAAGAACTGAATGCGACTTTAAATGGTTTTATTACAGTTTTAGCCGTATTTAATTCAATCTCAATTGAATTTCATTCGATTTCAATTGATTTTAAAAGGAATTCTAATTCAATTTCAATTGATTCTAACGGGATTTGAATTCGATTTCAATTGATTTTAAAAAGAATTTTATTTACATCAATTGATTCTAACGGTATTTTAATTCGATTTTAATTGATTTTAAAAAGAATTTTACTTAAATTTCAATTGATCCTAACGGTATTTTAATTCGATTTTAATTGATTTTAACAGGAATTGTAATATTGATTCTAACGGTATTTTAATTCGATTTTAATTGATTTTAAAAAGAATTTCAGTTAAATTTCAATTGATTCTAACGGGAGTTTAATTCGATTTTAATTGATTTTAACAGGAATTTTGATATTGATTCTAACAGTATGTTAATTCGATTTTAATTGATTTTAAAAAGAGAATTTTAGTTAAATTTCAATTCATTCTAACGGGATTTTAATTCGATGTTAATTGATTTAAAAGGAATTTAAAGGCGGCGGCCCTACCAAATCCTTTCAGTAAATATGCCTCCCTAATAATAAAAATTTCTGACACCCCGGAGTATTTATTAGTAGGGGGCGGGGGAACGTCGTTTATTATTAGGCGGAAGCGATTACCCCATCCGGTGTCCCAGCCTTCTTTGCAAGCTGCCGGGGCCTGTCAGCACAACAACGCGTGTTGGCTGCGCATTTAGATAACCTGCAAACACCAGAAGTTCTCCTCATCACTGTGCGGCTCATCAGCCGGCAAATTCGCTGCTGTGTCTTTGCCAAGCCTCACAGGCTCATGACTTGTTAGCAAATTCTAAACACCCTTTTTCCAGGCGGCATACTCTTCCTCCGCAGTTTGTGATGCCGACATCCATTGAGGCCTGGTCAGCAATGATAGTTCAAGCGCACATCAGGATCCCGTCCAAGCAGATTGCCTGCAGGGTCTGCGGCTCTGCGCCGTACCCCGCCACGCTCTAAGCCAACCGGTGCGAGAAAGGGACAGGCTACAGCCGAGCTGGGGAGTGTACCGTTTGGGACAAGATTGCTGCGTGCGCCGAGTATCAAGAGCTTTTTGTTCAATGTCCCTCGCACATGCGCCAATCCAGCATTAGCTGGGTCTAAAGTTAAGCGATCACTATTAAAATGGCAGTGTTTCGTAACGGTTGCTGTGCTACACACGCATCACTTGCCAGAGGTCTTCTCCGTCAGCGAATTGGAATTGGAAGCAAGGTCCGATTCGAAGGCCTGGAAGGCAGGGAAAAACTCTGCCACTGAATGGCCAATTCCAAGGAGTCTTCAGGCATCTCTAGCTTGACCCATCTTAACACAGTGCCAGGAAGCTTCTTCATCGGAACCTTCAACATGCTGGTTCGATCTGGGCCAACGCCAACCTCAACAGCATTGGCCGACTGCAAGCAAAAGTAACGTTAGCCAAGCCAATCGAGCCATGGCACCCAGGAGATAGGGATGCCCAAGAGTTCTTGGATCCTGCATTTGCTCTCTCAGCCTAGTGTGCCTCTGCATGCCTCTGAACCACCCAGGCCTGAGCACATACTTTTTCGCATTGTCAGGCAAATCTTCCCACTTCGTGCAGAGGGAGATGTCTTCCGACCAGCCCTCGAGGGTCTCCTTCACGTTCATTGGCCATTGGCTTTTCAGGCAGCACATGTGGAAGCGTGCACAAGCACTGGTGAAGGCCAAGGAGCATACTCGCAGACCACTTCCTTATTGCTTAACTCCAATCAGCAGATACTCACAAAACCCGATACAAGAGCATGCCTGAAATGTTCATAGCGCGCCTTGAGGTCATCCAGGTGCGACGGAAAGTATCCAGATGGCAACCGTACTTCTGTCATTCGTCTGTTCCTGAGACAGACTCATGAACACAGGCACCGCATCAAAGACGCATTGTCGACTAAACCGCCTGTATGCGATTGCAACTCGGATCTGCTTCAGGCCCGTCAACACATCGAGCTTGGTTATGTTGAGACTGTCCTGTGGCTCTGGGGCACTCTGCTGACACTTGCAACCGTTTTCTGAAGGCGCAAAGGTGCAGGCAAGCGACAAATCCATTGACCATTGCAGAATACTTGACCAAAGCCTCGCAAAAACTGGTGCACAGGCACTGGTCCAACACACTGGCATCTGTATCCGAAGGAAGCCAAGTCAATGGCCAGGTCCAGCCAACCACATCTTCGTCGGCGGCCTGTTGTAGTGCCGTATTCGGCGCCCACCTCCTGTAGCATCATGCCAACCTTCACAGGTTGACCTGGCTTCAGCTCGAAGGGGCCACCTGAAGGAGGTGCGTCACAGGCTGTTGTCACGTCCAATCGCATCCGATGCGCTAGTCAAGTCCCGCCTGTGTGACCTTTTCGCTCATATCTTGCCTCGGGTCCAAAGTAAGTCTCGGTGAAGTCCTGACGCGAAAACACTCCACTTGCAAAGATTGCTCCACCTGGTGGGCCTCCAAGGACTGCATCTCATTCTGCAACTCCGTTGGAAAAGGCCCGTGGCCAACTCGCGTAGTGTAGGCCTTGACCTGGGTGTCCCCCGACATCTGGTACCTTCTCAAGACGCATCCTCTCAAAAGGCTCACGCCACTCCGATGACTGTGTCGACCACCTTTGGCGGTACGCCAAGTCCTGCGCTGAAGAGTTCTGTTGGACGTATTGCTCTCTTTATGATGTCTGACCATACAGGTGCGACGGTCCGGTGCACACGCTCCCGACTGTGGTGTTCGACGATGTCACAAAAGGATAAGTACCTGACTCCCACACACAGCTCCACAAGCTTTCAACCAACATCTCACAGGCACTCTGCGAAAGCTTCAATCTGGCCGCTTCTTTTGGCACAGGAGCGTGTACAAACAAGGAATGCTGAGTCAAACATTTGTCTCAGTCAGAGATCTCTAAGGTTGCTCTCAGAATGTTCTCGAGGTCCTCAAGCTTCATCAGCAGGAACCCGCCACTTGGCCAAGAAGTTATCCTTGTCATTGTCCTTGACACGGCACCAGACGCAGTGGAAGAAGAAGGCCAATGTGGGGTACAGCATGATGTAGCGATAGAAATCTTCATGGGACTTGTCCAACATCCCACCATAGTAGCTGGTGTCAATGTAATACCTCCAGCGGTTCTTCGTGGGATCGATGTGCAACTCTGGCATGCCCATCATGCACATCTTCTGGTAGTCCCAGTTGCGCTCCATCCAGCGGATCCAATGGCGGCCTGGGACTCTGCGCAGCCACACAATGGTCGAACGAAGCCACAAGTAGACCGGGCCGCCCTTGTAGGGGGACATCACGGTCTCTTCAACGCGGCCATAGACCATAGGATACGTCTGCGTCGGGGGCTCGACAGTCTTTGGTACCTGCGCCGCGAAAAGGCGGCGGCCGGCCGCCAAGTTGCGCTTGGAGAGGCCGAGGAGGCCCATGCTGAAACGAAAGACAAGTCGGCCAGTCTTTGACAAGTCTGCCAGCGTACGTGGGGCTGACGCTGTTTGGAGCCAAATATAACGACACATAAGCTCAACATCTGCGGGTCACGACATGGCAAGTCTCCAAAGACATCACGCAGTTTATTTCATAAATCTTTCGAGCGATTGCAACGCAGCCAAGTGGCCAAAGTCTATGTCAAGCAGTGCGGCATTGGCTCCCTCCACCAGGACCTACACGGTGCAGATTCTGCTTGACCGTGGGGTCTCAACGAGCTGACTTTATCGCTCGCACCTTGCATCCTTGGGCAATGTCTTGGTGGATGAACGTCACCGAGTCTACAATTTGCGTTCGCAAGATATCTGCGTACCTCAGATGAGAAGCTCCGCAAGCCCGAAGCACTCATAGAGCTTATCAATTTATTTGGTTTGGATCTGCCAGTGGCATTCCGAGTGACTTCCGGTATCTCTCAATTTCTTCATCGATGTTCCTGACTCCCCCTTTTTGTCCAAGCTCCGGATCAAAGGCATACCTCAATCTGAGATGAGCACGCGGTGACAGATGAGCCTCTCTCTCTGTGTCAATAGCAGCTGGATACTAAGACCTGCACTGTGTGTTGTACTCCCGCAGGGCTTGCCGCAATTGAAGCTGTGCTGGGGAGTCCTGAAAAACTACAACATAGACAAGGAACTTGGTAAAAGAAGGATGCCCAACAAAAACCTTGTCGCGCGGATGGCTGTAGCGCTTCTGAGACCATGCCTTGCAAGTTCAGCGGTCAATCCCAGCCGTCTAGCGAAAGTTGTGCGTCGGAAGAACCCAGGCACCCAGGCACGCGCTTTTTGGCATCCCCATTCGCAACCCTCAATGAATATGCTGATCACTTGCACTGTGATCATCACAACTATCTGGCCCGCCTACTCGGCTTCAGCGGGCTAACAAACCAACCTGCATATTCCTGCATGTTCTCCTGCGAATTCCTTTGCTAGAGATCGCTCAAGCAAATGCTCGAGCCCTTGCATATCATGTAACTAGGGGCTGCTGCAGCAATGCTTGCAACAACTCAGTGGTCACGGTGAGGCCGAAGAAGCTCGGACCTCTTGTCTGAAGCCAGTGACCATTGCATATTGAAATGCAGAACAACAAACGAAGCCTGCGGGTGCTCAAGCTGCTGTGTAAGCTTGGGAAGCCATCCAGTGCTCCTTCTCTTCCTGCCAAAGAGGGAGGTACCGAAATCGTCGGCACACAAGCAAAGCCACAAAAGCACAGCGCTTGGGCCTGGCCCAAGCGCAGGAACTGCTCCTCCTGCAGACACTCCCAAAGCGGATCCGGAATTTGCATACCTCGGTTACCAACAGACAATGTTAAGCAGCAAGCTCTCCCTACAGGAAAAGCTGGAAGAATCAATTCCTGAAATCTGAAAGATAGCGCTGATTCAATGGCGATGATTGATTGGATCAACTGCGGCGGGGTTGGTTACTAGAAAGCCCTGAATGGGGAGTCTCAGCCAAGGCTCCTGGCAAAGTCAAAGGCTCGGTGCCTTGATTCGCCTGTCCTTCACGGAAAGCATCGAAACCAGAGCATTCGAAGTCTGCAACCTGTTTTGGCAAGAACGCAGAAAGAGCTGAGCGAAAAAAAGCAACAGCAGAAAATCCTGGCCTTAAAGTTTACAGATTCAACGAGGCCCACTTCATTGCAAAGGGTGTTTCTAAGGGCTTCCTCCGCCAGAAAGGAGTAGCTGTCAAGCTTGTTTTGCGCAAAACTTGCAATGCCTGCCTGCTGCCTACGGTGTCGGGAGGCCACCACTGACCACCAGGCAGCCAGTTCCACGGGTGGCAAGCTGCGGAACTTTTGAAGGCACTGAGCCGTAGCCTGACAATTCACACTCTAGCCACACTCTAAAAATGGAAGGCGCCTTATCACTGCAAACTCTGACTGTGCCAGGTGTCCTCTTCCGTTTGCTCATTACTGCCGGCACTTCCCAGCACCTGTGACGCATCTGCACGAGAGCAGTTCGTCAACATGTTCTCTACCATCCTCCCCTATCTGAAGCAAACCAGCCTCCCACTCCAAGAATAAGACTGCTGGATGGGGCAGATAACTCTTTGTAAATCCCAGCTCGGTGAGGAGCGATCTCGACTCAACATCTCCTGTAAGAACAATGCAAGGAAGGGGTTCGTGTGTCAGCTTCGCAGCACACGGTTCAGAGAAGACGAGCCTGCAAAGGGCAAGTCGGCCATGCGCTTGCAAATCAGCTCGTCCAACGTTGAGCCCAAACGTCGCTTGAACTCATCCGTGCCTGACAAGGGACCTGCACAGCAGAATGTTCAGCTTCGCTTCTGTTATGAACACCTACCACATGCTAAGTCACTAAGCCAAGCTACGAACTCTCCATGCCATCAGTTGCGAGGTAACCTGTCAAGTGATCACCGAACAACATGCTCAGCTGCAGCTATGACATGGCCTCATCAGCCGACAGTGCTTCCCATTGACTTTTCAGCTTTTCTTCTGCCCGCAAGATTTGGTGCCTTCGTATTAGCAGCTTGTGTCTTCAGCAGGGAGCAATACGTGACTGCTTCCTGTTTGCAGGACGGGCAACTCCATCCACCTCCGCTTCACCGACAGCATCTGCTGGGCTTTTGTAGCAGCAGTTTTGCCTGATCATTATTGGCTGCTCAAAACATAAAGATTCCTTGACCATGGCCATGCAAATGACAGCAGGATGCTTGCGCTGTAGCCTGGCGTCGCAATTTTGCCTGCATGATTGGCTTACGCACCTTCTGCTTTCGTCTACGATGTCAGCACCAAAAGGTCGATTGAACAATGTTGTATGCCTTGACTTGACCTCTAAAGTCACAAATCCAAAGCTGAAGAACGTAAATCAAACAGGTTTCTATCTGCCTGTGGACTTTGCCGTTGCGCATCTCGTGTTCATCTCATCTGTCCTGCACGCAAGCCACAAGCACGAACAGAAGAACAGTATCGCAACAGTGGCACGTTTTGCGCAAACTACAAGTACGTCACATGTCACCAGGGTCCTTTCGGAGTCCGCTGCACGTGCAGACGCAGCCCGGCTGTCATACTCCGATTGCTCGTGCCGCGACAATGCACGCCATTTCGCTGCTGCCTCCTGCAAGTTCAGTACTGTCTGTCTATACACATGCTGCGAAGATTCTGGCGCAGCTTACAGCTTTCACGCTCGCTTGCCTTCGCCACCTCGCTGAAATTCGAGACGTGGCCAGGGACATTGTCTTGATCACGCATCTGATTTCGAACTGCTGCGAAGTGTTCGCTGACAAACAGCATGTATCCTGTCATGACAAAAATATTGTTTGCGGGCTTGCAGTGTGGAGGTGTCATGGACTGTTGTTGACGAAACTTCGAAGGGTGCAGCCCCAATGACACCAACCAGAAAGATCCCGTTGCCAGCAGGAAGTGCTTGCACAACACATATGATGATGGGTTACATACTGGCCATGGACCGCACGAAGCATCATGCGATCAAGCACAACACCAAATTGAAACAATGCAGCCTGACGCAGGCGCTCGCTTGCGCTTCAAGGATCTCTCGACTTTTGGCTGCGCGGGCTCCGGCATCTCTTGATGGGCATCCTTTTGCAGGCCAGCAAGCTACACTTAAATGAAGGTCCCTCAATGTATGCTGACAAGTGCAAACATCAAGCCGCGCTACATGCAATGGGAGGGGATCGGTGCTTGGCAATTTTCCCAATTCAGCTTGGAGAAGCTGCTGAACCTCAAACACGCGGACAAAGCTGAAGTCCTAATCACAACCACACGCACAAAAATTTCTACTGGATGCAGCCTTGTGGCCATGGGTAACTCGGAATCATCGGCTGCCCACTCCCACCGGCGGCCTTCTCGCGCGCGGATCTTCCCCTGCTGCATCAGGCGTCGGAGTACCTTGTGCACCTTGAACATGACAGTGAGACACTGTGGCATGTATTTAGAAAGCAGTGCATTCATGTCACCTTGGACAAATCTGGCGGTACGGACATGCCGGCATTAGCCAAAAGTGTCCTGCGATCGTGGGCACGGGCCGCATGCATCCAAATGCCTGCCACGGTTATGTAATGCATCCTCAACGAGACCGCCGGACTGGCACCGCTTGCCATGGCACCCGAGGACTTGGAACTTGCTACCCTCTGAATGGACAAATAACACTGGCAGCCTTCACAGAAATGAGCCAATTGCCGCAAGATCAACGTGTCGGGTGTGGAACCCATGGTATTGAGCAGATATCCACAACAACTGACAAACCTACGCAACTAGCTGCAAACATTAAAACCAATGCGGCACAATGGGTTCGTCCGAGATGCAGTGAGATCCCGAACTTTGCGCTCAAACTCATCAAAATGCAACCTGCGGCAACTTCTCACAAATAACCTTTGCAGGAAACGACACATGCTGCAGCATAGCAGCAGATCTCCAAAGCGCACACCATTGCCTGGCAAGGCCGTACAACAACTGCGAACATTTTGAATCAAGTTGAATGTTTTTGCCAAGCGCACGGATGGCTTTCGAAGAATAAGACGGACCAATGCCACGCTTCCTCAAGCTTTCCACAACATGGCAAGATGTGCATGTTGCGCAGTACGTGTTGCAAAATCTAACCACATAATAAATCATGGGCATCAGCTCATCCCACAGAACTGATTGACAAGGCTCGTGGTGCCAATCGAATTTGACCCCTGCTCCGCTTCCAGAATCCCATCGATTATCTGATGGCTGTCCAAGAGGATATGGGCCCCTAGGTCGTCCACGGCTTCATTGTAAAACGTTCCATGCTTCCCCTTTCCTCTTCAAAGATGTTGACTGATAAGACGGTAAACGTATCAAACGTGCAGATACCTGCGTTAATATGGATAGTTTTGTCCAATGTCTACGGCGGTGGCTACTGTTATTGCTGTTGGGCAGAATGCGGGGGAGGAGGAACAAGCTCACAACCAAGTATTATGCCAATATTTACCTCTATGCTCCCGGGGCATCAAGAATTCTAAAGGCCGAGACTTGTAGTTGCATTGGTTTGTCATCTTCAGCACGTAAACGCCACAGATCCCAACTGAGAAGCGCGCGAGTCGAAATGAACACGCGCTCGACCGCCTGTGGATCAAACTCCTGGATACCGTGATTCGAAAAAGGCGTTGCACGCCTGTGTGTCATTACAAAACCATGCCAAACTTTTGTTACGAGACCTTTCAAAGAAGCAAAAACTTAATTTTCTGCAATTGTCCTTCAGCGCCTCGAGCTCCTTCATCAACGTTGGAATGTGCCTGAATCACCAACCAACATATCCCCAGGCAATGGATCTGTGCAATTTGCGTTTCGGCGGCCAACCAAGACTCCATTCCAAGATGAGCACCACATCCGTCAATGAACAACGTTTCCGTGACGTTGACCATTCTGGCCCTCCAGAACGCGACCAAGCTTTTCCACACGACCATATCGACCATCTACCATTATTTTCTTGCGCTAACGATCGCGCATGGCAGGTGAATTGCCGGGTACACGCTCCAACAACCAAGGCGCATTCACAAAAGAAGGCTTGACGGCCGGGGTGCCGAGTCCAGCTGTCGGCTGCCACTCCGGGCGTAGGAACCGTAGTGAACTGTAGTAAGACCGACTTGGGACCATGGTCATGCAGACGTAAAAGTCCGCCAAAAAAAAACAATGATAAAACAAAAAAAGCAGGCCAAGCCATCTCACATATGGGAAACACCAAGCACTGGGTCAACATGTAAATGTGCGGCAGGTTTATGTGCAACTTTGGCAAATGCTGCAATTCCGTGGGGTGCCCCCGCCAGTCCTCCAGTACGACCGGACAAAATCTTAGCAGGCATCGTGACAACATAAATGTCGCCCAAATAACGCTGCCCAAAACTCCGGTGCTTGGAATTCCCGCGCTGCTGCGACCAGCGCATCATGTCGGCCAAGTACAACAAAAAATGGGGAAAAGGAATCACAATCACCCGTAACCTTCAGCCTGCGCAAGCCGGATGCGTGTTCTCCCTGGGTGCTCGAGCTTGAACCAACATGGTTGCAATGTTTGAAACCTCTGCCTTCGCCCTCCGCTGGTCGGCCATCCTGTCCTTTGCAGCTGCTCGCGCGTTCGCGTCGAGCCTGCTTGGCCTGCCCCTCGCCGGCACGAGCCGACCGGTTGCTTGAGCGGATCCCGGCCGTTGAGAACTTGCAAGCTGCATCGCTTCTGCTCCGGCATTGCGCATGCCCACGCGCCAACTATTTGCCTTGCGCTCTCCCGCCTGCCCTCATGCCAGCGCGCATTGCTTGGTGACGCTGCTCGGCTTTGCAGATGGACTGCTGCCTGCCATGTTTTGGGCTGCGTCGAGCTGTGGCCGACTGGCATGTGGCGTATTGGCCCTCCTGGATGGACACACTGCCGGTCATCCACACACGTGCCCCAGGCATGGCGGCCCGACTCTTTGCCCTATTGCGTGAATACAGCCGCCCGCCAGGCCTTTCTCTATTGGTGGACGGGCGTGCTGGCCATCGCCATGCAGCGGGCACTGGCCCACTCTTTGCTGGAACTGCCGCTGGCTGGGGTCGATGCATGCAGCGGCGCCGAACTGCCTTTGGGAAAACTTTTGGGGGACGCGCGCGGAAGCAGCCGCCTGCCTGCCCCCACCGGTGAGCGACCGAGCCACCAGCGCTCCCGCAGACTGAAACACGTCGAGCAAACGGAAAAAAGGGAAAAACAAAAGAAATAACAGAGAACAATCGCGAACTCATCCGTATTGAAAAGTGACAGTCTAAGTCAGTCAGTCAGTCATACGCCAGGCGGCGCGTGGACAGAAAAGAAACGGCAAACCGTGTCACGCCAAACTCGGGGATTCTGACTAACTCACGGTGACCGTTCACAATTTGAAAGGCTTTGTTCCTAACCTCGGTAACCCATTCACGTCTTGGCCTCCCTACCCTTCTAACGTACTTGCTGGTGGCTGCTTGCAAACTTCCGTGGATAAAGGACGAGCTGTGCATCCGATGGTCGTACGGAAACCTCAGAGCTTTCCCAAACAGTATCAGCTGGCGTTGCAGAAGAATCTGTGTGGCGGCAACGCAGGAGGCCCGTTGTAAAACATGTGCATTCGAAACTCGCGAAATGAATGAAGGAGTGATGCCCAAAATTCTGCGCAGACAGCGGTTTTGGAACCCATCCAAACGACGACGCTCAGCTGCTGAAAGGCATAGGCAACTTAAACTATACATTAATTTTGACTCGATCAGGGCCTTGTAGATTCGAACCTTCCGAGTCCAGTGTAGCGATGAGTGTTTCCAAATCTCTTGCAACTGGAGAAAATCGGATTTGGCCATTCCGATTCTGCGTCCAAGTTCGTGCCCAGGGAGACCATCAGCACTGAGAACAGACCCGTCAATACCTGGTTTGGGGGCGATGCGCTCGCCTGTGGGAGTGAAAATAGAAGCACTGCATCGCACTTCAACCAGTTGAAATTTATCCCAATGAAGTTCCATTCCGTACACATCACCAGCATCAGCAACCTTGGAAAGAAATTGCTGCAAGTGGGGGTCAGATGAACCGAGAAGAAGGTATCATCTGCGTACACGATGTCAGCAAGATCCCCGCGGGAATAAGCACGGGAGGCAGCATCATCCAGATTTGAGACGGCGTCATGCATTAGCACGGTCATTGTGACGATAAACAGCAGAGGGCTGAGGGTGCACCCTTGTGAAATGCCAGATCGCTGTGGTTTGATATCGGAGTTGGCTCCCTGATCCTCAACGTAGAAGCTACGTTGCCGCATCATAGATGCAATGAGGCGCAAACAACGGTCAGGAAAACCAGAACGACGTAGTGCATCAAGGAGATTCAAAGGCCTTTTTCCAGTCCAGAGCCAAAAGCCGGATTGAGCCATTCCGTTCTGCGCAGGCCTGTTCGATTTTTCGCAGAGCCACGAAAATTGCATCTTCAGTACCGTGTCCTCTTCGAAAACCAAATTGGGACTTCCAGAGCCTAGCTTCGACGCCAGCATTCAAAAACCGTTGTTTCAAAAGCGAAGCGAACAATTTGTACGCGATGCTCTGAAGACATATAGGTCTATAATTGTTGGGGTCGGCAGGATCCCCTTTTTCAAACAG